ATTATGTGCAAGCAGCTAATTCACTGTCCTGCTGACCACCCCCCTGAGAGGGTTATGGAGCAGGAGAGGGCAGTTGTGGATTTGCCATCTGGCAGGGATCAGGGACTATAGTGCCTTGCTAGAAAAAGTACTGCCAGCTCCTGCTGTTTTGCCAATTCTGTGACACAACCCAACACTTGGAGTAAAAAGGCTTAAGAGATTTGTGTGGATGTGTGCCTCAGGTTGTTGTTCCAGGGGAGGAGGTTTAGATTGGATGTGAGGAACAATTCCTTCACCAAGAGGGCTGTCAAGCATTGGAACAGGCTGGCCAGGGCAGTGGTGGAGTCACCATTCCTGGAGGGATTTAAAAGATGTGTGCATGTGGCACTTGCAGATGTGGTTTAGAGGTGGGCTTGGCAGTGCTGAGGGAACAGTTGGACTCTGTGGTCTTGGAGGCCTTTTCCAACCTAAGTGATTCCATGATTCTATGAATGCTTGTGCATGGCCCATGTCTTCAGCTGAGCAGGACTAGTGGCTTTTTGTGATGTACTTAGAAAACCTCAGTCCTTCTGAAGGCAGAGCCTCAAGCCCAGACACAAACAAACAGACTTCTGCACTGCTGAGTGCCAGTCTCATCCCTTATGTTTAGCAGGACTGTGCCTTTCCTGGAATGCTAAGCAGTATTTGGGCATGTGGGACTGAATAATGACATATCCTTGCAGCTAGGACATTTTTGAAAGGCTGTGGCAGCAGAAAGCTCAGGGATCAAGGTCACAGCAGTGGTACTCCTGAGAGCATCATTGCCAACACACAGAATGATTCTGGGAGGGGAGAATGCAGAGCTCAAAGGTGCCAGGCCAGGGGGAATGAGGAGGTGAGGGCTCAGCACTGGGATGTTTGACAGCAGGATGCTCCAGGCTTCAGCAGGGAAGTTGTGCTCAACCACTTCAGAGGGGAAAGAGTAACCCAGGTTTTGCACAGGATGGTGCTGGGCTGGGAGAAGTCCTCATCCTCAGCTATGGCACGGGGCAGTCTGAAAGCTGTGTTTCCTGGAGTGTGATGCCTCAGAAGCAGCCAGGGAGTGACCTGCTGTGGAGTCATGCCAGCAACGGGGACTTTTCCTGCTGCCTCGTGGGGCCCTTTGGCAGGGATCAGTCCTCCACGCCAGAACACTGACCAGTTTGCTTCAGAAACATAAATGATTTAAGGGTATCAGCCCTGCTGTTGGAGGCCTCTCTAATGTCTATGTGAATAGAAGAGGTTTCAGCAGCTTCTGGGGAGAAAACAGACCAAAGAAGCAGAGAATGGGGTGTATTGTATCCAGTGGCCAGAGTGACCAAAGCGGCCTGAGAGACAAAGTGACAAACAGAGACCTCCTGTGCAATTAGTCTCTTGACCTCTGTGGTTGGGCAAGGGATGCTGGGAAAGGAGCTGTGGCTCACAAGGCCCCGAGGAATGTTTCCTTGACAACACTTACTGAAGAAAAATGAGATTTCATGAATGCAGCGGGAGTTAACACGTGAGAGGCTGACTTTGGGAGAGACAAGGACGTGGCACCTCGCAGAACGAGCCCCTCGGTTTGGGGGTGTTGAAGCAGTGGCTCAGTGACCTGCTTTTTCAGATAAACTTAATTAAAGAGCTATTACAACCGCTCATATTTATTTAGAAATGCAGCCACCGTGGTAAAAGCAGACTTATTGTTTAATTATTTTTCTACCCACGAAATCTTCTCCACCTTGAATAAGCACTGGCACGGAAGGAAATTCTCTGCTCACTGCTGATAGTTTCAGCACACTGCAGCTTGGGTTTAGGATTCTTTAGAACTAGCATTGTTCCACCATTTACAAAGGCAGAGCAATTGTATAGAAAGATATGTATAATTATATAATGTATCATAGTAATACCAGTACATTAAAAATAAAAAGCAGACAGGTGTTTAGTATTGCCAAACTTAAACCGTGTGGAAGAACCAAAAATGCAGATATTTGAGTTCAAGACCTAAATAGATATCTTTTTCAAATTATCCAATTGAAGACTTTTTAATTTCTTCCTGCTGTTTCAGCTAGAAGGACTTAAACTTTCATCCTTATATGATGTCTCACAGGAATAGCAGCACTGGGGCTTTGTCCTGAACTCGAGCCATCCCATCACATGGCCAAAATACCTCAGGAAATCAGTGCAAGTTTTGCCTCAAGAAAAGACCTGTGACCTTTTCCAGTGAAAGTCTTGGCTGCTCCGGGGGTGTTTGCACAGCAGACAAAGAAAGAGCATCTTCTTAAAAAGCAGAGCCGGTTGGCAGGAAATCAAACGCTGATTCAAGGCATCGGAGTCAGCTGGGAGCCCGGAACATCCCAGCGGTGTGGTGGGGACCAAGGGCTGCAGCTGAGCCTCTCGCTCACTTCAGGCTGGAGAGAAAGGAAATACAGGGGGTTAAGTTGCCAATTTTGTCCGAGTTGAAGCTGTATGTAAGCACACAGGGGTCTGAGGCTGCTGCATACACCCCTCAACAAGAGCAGGGCAGGATCTAGAGCAGTCTGTGAGGCTGTGTCCTTACACTGGTGAGAGACAAGGAGTAAAAGGAGAGTTTTCAGGTTGTTTTTTTATAGGCCAAGTGGAAAATTGCCTGGATTTCTGGGTAAAACATTTTGGTTTTGTTTTCTTTTTTTGGACTCCCTTAAGTCCTGGCTGCAGCAGTGGGATCAGCCTTTCCCATTTGTTCCCTCTATTGCTTGCTTGTGTATTTATTTCTAACGTTTAATTTTAAAAATGAATCTCCTATTAAAACTGAACTTGGAAATGTTAAAAGCAGGTTTGCTTGCAGGAGCAGATACCTATGGATGTGTGTGTAGGCAGGACTGTACCTGCCACTGGGTTCTCTGCGTCTGTACCAGTTGTCAATATCTTGAAAGTGATACTTTTTCTTTTGTGTCCCAATTGATTTCAGAAACGCAGTGAAAGACACAGATCCAAACTAAATAAGATTAAAGGCTTTAAAAGCTTAATAAATTAAGAAGAGCAAATCTAGCTGATAACATGGCTTTGATAGTAGGCTATAAAGGGCAGGGAGTTAAGGAATTACAGGTAACTAACTATTCATCAGCATCCCTTCCTCCTCAGCAGTGTGGGGGCACAAGGGAACAGGTTGGACTCTCCAGCTTTATCAGCAGGACAGGAGCAACATAAGACAGAGTTGAGGGGATAGAAAAGATTTGAGGAACTAGAATTTAAATAAGCACCCCCAGCCCATGCTGCACCAGCTCAGTGTGTCCTGCTGGCATCAACACCTGCCAGTGACACTGTCCTGCCAGAGCCATTGGAATGCAAGTGGAATGGTTTGAACCCTCCAAGAAGAAACTGTTTCCCATTTTGAGATGTTTTCTAAGACTCATTTTCCTATTCTCCAGTGGGGTCCATCAGGCAATGTTCCACTGCAGCTCAGGTATAGCTTCCCTCTCTGGTGAAGTTTTTATACTGTAATGCTCCTCAGCATGTCCCAACCTCTCTTTGCTCCCTGTGTGTGAGCTGTGACAGGGCTCTGTAAGCTGAAGAACATTCTCTCTGCCTTTCTTATCTTTCCCAGCTGTATAAATGAATGATGGCCCAACAGAGAGCTTTGGCTTGTGTTGTTTGCCTGGCTAACAGTTGTTTCACATGGTCATTTGCTATTCCAGTTTCACTCAGATCAGCAGAAATGTGGTTTATTTCGGGAGAGAAAATTCTGCCACAACTCTTCTGATTTTAGTATTGCAATAAATCATTTAATTTAAAGAATGAAAGGTAAAAATGTTCTGTGGGCTAGAGAGGCAAGAGGAGCAGAGGGAATCCTGGTTTTAATAAGAATAGCCATAAAGAAGAAAAATTTGTCCTCCCTGATGGAAAGGTCCTGTCAGCTTTGAATGTGTTGAAACCTGTGTCACAATCTGTGAAATTTCTCTTTACAATTACTTTCCAATACCTCTGGAAAGTAATAGGCTTTCTTGATAGAATAGTGTGAATCATTGTAAGGAACACTACAGCAAGGATATTACTCTGCAGAAACTTGGCAGCACAGAGAAAGATGGCATTTCCTTGCTCAACAAGAGGGATTCAGCTTGGTTCAGTACGTGGGGAAAGATAAATCAGGGCAAACCCTGACCCTGCCCTCTCTGAGCAGGACTGGAGGGAACCAGGACTGAAGGGTACCCTGACATTCTTCACATCCCAACCCCAAATCAAGGCCAACTTAGCCCAAACATCAGCCCTATTTACCTCCAAATCTCAGCAGCATTTAGTGGGTAAGCTCTGCACATAGACCTGTAGCATAATGAGCGAAATGGTTGTTTATCAATTTGTTTTTAGCAAATATTTCCTTAATTATGCAAAGTTCCAGAGGGAACAGGGACAAACTCAAGGTAACTTCAGGCTGCACTTCCAACAGCTGGATTACAGCAGAGACTCTGCCTGCCTGACACTGATACAGTGTTGGAGTTTCAGCAGCAGCATTTGCTGTAATCAACATATTTTACAGAATATTACCTCTTTTTTTATTTTTATAAGTGAGGAAACAGATTGTGTGAGCTCACACATCCCACAAAGGCTCCCCTCTCCTTTGCTGAACCAGTAGCTGGGCACAGCCCATCTCTGGACCAGCTGAGTCATGCCTGCAGCTCCCAGGTACACAAAAATATTTTAAAAATGCAGAGAACATGGCAAAAGAATGTAAGCCATGATGGAAAGAACCTGGAGGCGAAGGCAGTTGCACTAAAGGAGAAGGAAGTGTGGTATGAAGATAGTTTTTGGGATCATGGTGAAAAATCCAGAGCTTGGAGACCTCTCAAGGAGCTGTGCCCCAATCTGAAGCCGTGTAGAACATCAGGTCCATCTCCAGGGCAGTTGGATACCTCTCACTTCACAGCCTGGTATCTTCCCTGGTCCAAACAACCCAGGAAGCATCATGAACCTGTGGAAGGAGAAGCTTTTCCCCTTTTTATACAGCCCTAATGGCAAATATTCATTTGTGAGAAGAAAACGCTTCTCCAGACATGGGTGCCCTGATTCTGGAGTGGGAAAACTCATGGCAGAAGGCCATGAGGGTAGGAGGGGTCTGTCTTTATACTGATTTTTAGAGCCTAAGGACAACAGGCAAAGCAGAGCAGGGTATTACCTCAGCAGAACACCCCCATTGTGTCCCCTCAGCAGAGTGACAGCCACAGCACCGGCTCCCATGGCACACCCTCCCACAACCATTTAATGCACAAAGCCAATTAAATGCCTGATTGGATGAAGTGGTCACAGTCAAATGGCCCCTTGCCAGCCAGTCAGGATGCAAAATTGACAAATATCTGTAAAGGTGTGTGCCTTAATCCCCTCCTGAGGGATTAAGTGTTTAACCTATTACTGGTGTTTCTGAGGAGACACAGCAAAGCTGCTGTGCTGGGGGGGAGCAGTACTTGCCCCAGCCCAGCCCTGCAGCCTCGTGCTTGGCCACAGCATCTTCCAGGTGGTTCAGATGGATCAGGGCAGGGCAGTGTGTGTTGCTTCAAGAGGAAAAATATTTGGCAGAAGTGAGAGATTTGGCGACTGCCTCCATTCCCTCCCCATTCTCTGTCCCTCTTTGCTTGTGAAGGTGTTGGAGAGGGAAAGCTGCTTGCCCCTGCCCTGACTGACCACCCTTAACCAACCTGCCAGAGAGTTCTTTGAAGTACAGATTTTTATTGAACTTTCAAGGCAGTGTTGAGAATTGCTATACCCTCCTAGCCCAAGAGAGGTGTGAAGGTGATTTCCCCATTGATCCAGGAAGAAGGAGGAATAATGGCCCTTTAGTAGATGAGGCTTCTCTCATCATGTGGCTTGAGTGACACCTGCAACCACTCACATCCTTAAATGCTTTAAGCCATCACACAAGCTCTGGTGCTTAGTTTCCCAGCCAGGAAAAGGTGTCACACAGCAGACTAGGATTCCCCATGGTTAATGTCTAATTAGTAGTTAAATTAATATTGACTATCGATAGTAAATTGTAATGATTTATTTAGATGAAAATAAATATGAAATGTCATAATGCAATCCTAGTGTGCTAGTATGATAATTAAACACACTCTGAAATCTTATCCTGACAGGGAAATCTCCTGCTGTGCCTCGGCACTTGCAAAGACAGGTCGATGGAGGGGGTTACACTGTGTTAGTGAAGACATGGAAACAGAAGATCTCTCTGTGTAAGGCTGGGCACTGGGAAAAACCTTCTGGAACAGGTTTGCCCCCTGCACTCACTGATTCTCCTGTAGATACAGTGTTTAAAGGCTGTGGGGATGCAAAGGCCAGCATGCAATTGCATGTTCCTTGTGCTCTTTCAGCTGCAGTGTAGAACAGCAGCTCAGAGCTGGGGACCAGACGTTGCCTCATACACAGGTGGTGGCTACAGGTAAAAGTGCATCTTTATATAAATGTGGTTTGAAAATCGGCCCCAGCACTCCAACAGTAATGGAGTTTTATTTCTAGGACATAGTACTGGCCTTGAATCATGTTATTAGTGCTGGAGAGGAACACAACCTGTCCTGGAAAACTGATGTGTTTGCAGAATTCCTTTACTGGTGGCAGCATTTTCTGAGGGGTGAAAGTGGAGGAGAGAGTTTCCTCCTCTCTCTTACTTTGATGGATGTGTGCTGGAAAGCAGAAACATGAGAGGTGTCAGGAATGATGCAGTGATGCTGAAGGCTCTGACAAATGAGCTCTTGAAGCTTATTTTTGTGTTTTTGTGAATGTGAATATTTCACTTTTGAGATGTTACCACCCTGCTGCTCACCTCTGTCCTCTGCCAGAGGCACCTCCCCAAAGTGCACACACCAGAGGAACACCCCACACAGCCACTGGAGCTCTCTGGTCTGCATTAGTTTGGCCATCAGAGGAGAGGTGGGATGAGTACAAAGGGGAAGGGGGATGTGTAGACAAGTGTTGTGTCCTACTGACCTGGTTCATAGCCAGTAAATTGCTTTGGGAATGGAATCCCACTTTCAGCTGCTGCAGGGATTTGCTAGGGAAGCTTGTTAAAACCTTGAGAATAATCATTGTGGGTCCAGAAACCATAACTCTCCTTTTCCTTCTCCCTTCCAGCTCGCTGCATTAGAGAGGCAAGTGTTCGACTTCCTGGGATACCAGTGGGCCCCTATCCTGGCCAACTTCCTCCACATCATCATCGTTATCCTGGGCCTGTTTGGCACCATCCAGTACAGACCTCGCTACATTGTGGTGGTGAGTGACACACTCGGAGCCTTTCACAGCCTCTGCTCTGGGGGGACATGGCAGGTGATGAGGAACTGAGTAAAGCCCTTGGGAAATCAGGCACAAGCCCTGCAAACTATTTTAGCAGAAGGTGCCTGGCTGTGCTTAGGAACACAATGTTCAGTGTGCTGTGCTTATGCCAAACTTGAAAGATTTTAGATAATTATCGCTGGTGCTAAAGTAACACCCAGACACTGCACAGCAGAGAGGGAGAGTGAGGTGCTGGACAAATGCCTGTCAGAAGGTCTTCCATCTCTCCAAGCTCCTGCCCCTGTGTCTCTTTCAGGCAATAGATCATCTGCATATGGAAAACAAAACAGAGGAAATAAAAACTATTGCAGTGCTGACTCGGGGCATTCAACTGCCCCCAGCTAGAGCTCATATATGTACACTAATTCCAGTGACTTCCTAATGTTTATTGCTTCTCTCTCTCCAACCTCATTCCCTTCCAGTATGCCATCTGGACTGCAATTTGGGTCACCTGGAACATCTTCATCATCTGCTTTTACTTAGAAGTGGGAGGTCTCTCAAAGGTGAGTGGGAATTGGATGGGTGAGTTCCCAGCTTTTGCAGTGGAGGGGATGGGGCTTAGTGGAGAGCGGAGGGGAAGGGCAGGGACTGTCTGGGAGCAGGTCCTAATCCTGCCCACTTGCCTGTGGAGGGGGTTGCTTTATGAGGGGATGGAGGAGTACTGCTTTTTTATGGAAAAATGAGGAGCCAATGCTGATTTCTGGAGCTCTTTGCTGGTCAGTGCAGGTGGTGGCTGGAATAAACCTTCCCCTCATGGCAGGTAGAGTGTATTTGCTTTCCAGAGTTGGGAACAAGAGCCATCCTCAGGGAAGAGCAGCTTTGAGGGCTAATTCCCAACCATAATGCAGAGGTGGCTGAAGAGGGCTATGAGCTAACTAGGTTATAGCTGATCCTTTTGTGATCTGACACCAGCTTGGCAAGAAGGTGTCTGATGGAGGGGAAGGCCCTTATGCAGCATTGGGTGTGTTCTCTCTGCCAGTCTGTCCCAGAGAAGAGCTGGGCTGAGCTGGACCAAGGACTTTGCTGGAACTCCATACCTGACCAGCTTTTGATATTTTTGTGCCTCCCAGTCCTGCTGGAGACTTAGTGCACTTCAGCTGCAGGGATAAGTACCTGATTGTTGCCACACCAGGCAAAATATTTCCTATTGTACCTTTTGGGAGAGGCTCTTCTCTCTGCTGAACAGAGAAATCCCTTCCCAGAGGGGTGCTGGGGAGACTGGCACATCTCTTTGGGATGTGGCTTCCCTGCCTTGATTTTTCCTTCTTAAATACAATGGTAGTTACTCGTGGCTGTTGGCCAGGGTGTTGTGAGTTAATACATGAAGCTCTTTGAAGACTAGATTAGCTGAGCATTGCTGTCTGCTTGATGAGGGGTGAGTCAGAAATAATAAAAATGGGAGGCAGGTCCTAAATTAAGCCTGGGCTGTGAGCAATGAATTAAGAAGTGTTGCTCTAGCACAGTAGACTGAGAGTCATTGTAGGATATGGGTTCGTTTCAGAGCACTCTACATCTGGCCTAAATTCCCAGGTCATACATTGAAGTTGCAATCATAATTGGAACTGCCCTGTGGTTTTTATCAGGCCGACAGCAAGTCAGGACTGACAGCACAAATCTTTTGCAGATAAGAAAATGTAGCTTCCTAATTTCTCAATTCATCTTTATTTCCCCTCTCAATTATCCCTAGAAACTTTGAGGGAGTTCTTGATTGCTCATGATCTGAAATCTCCGCCTGAGATGATCTCGATGTTGGCTGCGACGAACTAAAAAAAAGAATTTTATGTAACTATTGAAATGCTCCCTTCTGTGGAGGATATATTGGCTTGGTAAACTGCACTGGGAGCTTCTCTGCCAGCCACTGTTTGCTTCCAGCCAGCTGGTTACTCGTGTTTGCTAATCCCAACCTGCCCTGCACCACGTCGGGCTGCTGTTCTGCAATTCAAACAGCACAAACTCCTCTTTCTCCCCTACAGAGCAGCTTCACCTGGTAACCTTGCTCTGTGCTGGGGCTCATTTTAGCCAAGCCAGCACACAGAGAGGCTTTATTTAGCCTACAGGATGACACTTGTGACTGGGGACTTTTTTTATAGAATTGGGCTGCAGTGTCAGTTGTTACTGACTCGGTGGATTTCCCTCTAGGGCTGCACTGAGAAATTAGTTAATTTAGTGGCAAGTAGCAAAACCAACAGAGTATTTGTGCTTGTTTGGCAGTAAAATACTTGACAGCCTTGCCTCTGTTCTTAATGAGTTGCTTTCACTTAAAAAAGCTGTTTTGTAAGAAAAACTCAGGATGCTGCTTTCTGTCCTCCTTCTCCCCCTTAACTGAAGTAATTTGGGTCTTTGTAGTGGCAAAACAAATCCTCACTTCCACAAGAGACCAAAAGATGCTTCTGAAGCAGGAATTGAGGTTTCTGTAGGACAGTGGTGCTTTGTAGGCTGGCCCAGGAGTGGTGTTGCTCTGCTGCTGCATCTCTGGAAACCTGATCCAAAGCCAGCTAGCATCTTATTGATCTCAGTCTTGGGATCAGACCCCAGATCTGGGCTTGGATGCAGTGTTGCAAGGAGCAGGTTCCTCTGTGGGCCCTCAGGGCCCTTGGGAGGAAGCTGCTCCTGATAAGAAGTCAAGCACAAAGCTCATCATTAGCCTGGCAGTAAGCAGGGAAATTGCAAATATTGGAAAAAGAGCTTTGGTGGAGTGAGACTGATGGAGCTGGTCTGATAAACACTAACTCATTAACTACTAGACTAAGCATGAATACACTGGGGAGTGTTTCAGACAGGGTTGTGCTCCTGTACAAGTGCCTTAAGGGACTGATAGCTCTGAGGAAGATCTTCAGGGTGCTGTTTGCTCTGTGATTACTGATGAGCCTGGGGGAGTGGGAGTAGCTCCTGCCAGCCCTGTGCTCACCCCGCTGTGCTCCTGACAAGGGCAGCCTGCCAGGGCGGGCTCTGTCAGCAGCTCATTGATAATGACAGAATGCAGAAAGGGCAGGGAGATGGGAAGAATGGAGTTTGTTAACTTTGGTGGCTGGTAATGACAGACCCACTGCAACTGAGACAGGTGAAAACTCAGGTGGGGTGAGAATGGGGAGAAAGGGTACAAGTGCTTCTGATGTAAAAAGTTCAGAAAAAGCCCAGAGAACTGAAGAGATGAGGAAATAGTTATGTGCACTTATTGCAAATTAAAATCACTAGTTGCACTATCCCTAGTTTTTTATGGAAAAGGAAAGTACTTTTTCCTGCTCTGTGAATCTATTCCATACTTTTTGGAAGAGCTAAACTGGCCTGCTTTCTGTCTTTCTATCTTGTCTTTTTTTTTTTCTTGCAGTCTTTTCTTAGCAGAAATAAGAGTATGAAATATGGCACAACAGACCTTCATTAGGTGGCCAGACACAAGTGGATCAGCACAAGTGTCTAAGGAAGCACTTTCCTTGGTGCTGCAAAGGCCTCCCTAAGCATGTAGCCTGTGCCAGCTTTCCTGTAAGTGCTTTGCCAATGAGCAGGCGAGTGATAGAGCAATCTGGATTTGAAGGGATGCTCCTCAGCACTGGCAGTGAGGTGGTGATGTGTCTCTGAGCAGCTTTTGGCAGCATTGCCTTGCTGACTTGCTCTGCCCCTGCCTCTGAGCACACTTGCAGCATGTGGGGGAAATGCAGCATCTCCAAGTGCTGTCGCTCTGCTCTGTGGTGGGGCTAACAGCTGAATATCCAGATTGCTGTTCCTCCTCCTGTGGTCTGCTCCTGTTCCATCTCCCTCTCTTCTCTTTGTCCATCTGGCCATTTGATTTGGTGAATTGCTGGGAGATAGCTCTGAAGTTTCTGGGCTGTGCTTGAAATAATACCTTAAGCTTCTCCCTGTCTACCCGAGCGTGAAACACATCCCTCCTGCAACCCCTCAGTCTGAGTTAATTATTAAAATCCTGCTGTTAAGACATATGAGCATCTGTCTGTCCAGCTGCCATGCTGACTGACTCTTCATCATGTACTTGAGAAATGTTCAGAGAGGTTTGAGGAATTGGTGTTGTGTATTTCAATGTATTCCTTTCTATTTTCCCTCTGGAATTGCTCATCTCGACTGGTGATTGTTAATTTATTTTTTTGTCCTTCCTTTATATTCTCTCTAGTCTACACAGTGCTTTGATCTGAATCCAGAGCTGTGGTGGTCTAAATCTCTTCTTGAAGTGGAAGCAGCCCTTATTAGTCAAATGGGAGTTATTTGTATTCCAGAGAATCTGGACAGCATCTTGGAATGACTTTGTACCTGGGGAAAATACTGTGAGGAGGGTGGATAAATGCATGTGTACTTACAACTGTCCCTCAACTCCCTCTAAATTTAGAACCTTGAAGCCTGGGATTTGGCCTTTAAATGCTGTGACATTGTCAACAAGCCTCCTGAGAGACACTGGAAGTGCTTCTCTGTGTCTCAGGGTGATACAGCTACTTGGCACACAGGACTGAAAGATGAACATCATATTTCCTATTCTAATAAGAAATGTTTCCATCTAAAAAAGATTTTTAAAATGATTCTGCTGTCAAGCTCTGGGGCTCCCATGCGAGGTTCAGTTTGTTCCAGAGCTGTTATAGTGCTGTCTTGCCTGATAATTAAGGAAATTTGGGGGAGGCGGTTCAGAAGGCTGTTAACAACAAGAAATAAAACCATCTCTGATGGTGTCCCTTAGCAAATAATTTCAGAACAGCTTTCAGAAAGCTATTTTAGAAAAGAAATGCATCTGGCTCTGTGGGTGTTAGAGGTAGGTGTGAGTTTCCCGTGGGACACAGTGGGGTGAGACTGGGAGCGGAAAATAGACTCTGTAAAATGTAGGTACTGCTGTTTTAGTGCTGCTTTAGTGCTGTTGTCTTCCTTCTCACTCTGATGGCAAACGGATGGCAGCCAGGTGCTACAACAGTTCAGAGTGAGCTGTGATTTTTTTGGCTGGCCTTCAGCATGCTCCCGAGAAGGAGCTTGTGTCACTCTTGGCTCATATTTCTCTCCAGGCTGAAGGTTAAAGAGGCAGCGATAGCTCTGGAAAGAAGAGAGGGGGAGTGCAGTCACACACAGATCCCTCTCTGCAGCAGGGCTTGCTCACTGCTGGGACTGATTAACCTCTTCCAACCCACAAGCACTTCTGGGAGTATTTCGGTGTGTTTAGATCCCAAGTGCGTTGCAGAAAGGTTTTGGGAAACAGCTGTTCCCTGGACTTTCTTACAACTGGTTCTTTTCTCCTGATTTTAGTGTGCTGTTCTATTCCATAGTTTCGCTTCTCTCCAGCCACCTTCTCACAAATGAAGCTGGCAAACCACAGGAGACATCCTGGGATTGTTTTCCTGGTCTCCCAGCAAGCACTGAGCGACTGGAGGTCAATTAAGGGATTTTCCTGAGTGCTTTTTTATTGTGCCCCATCACGCAGGTACCTTCCCAGGGCATCCAGCCAGGGACACAAGGAAAGGAACAGCACTGCTTTGCATGTTGAGACCCTCTTGTTCGTGCTGCCCTCCTGCCCTGCTGTGCTCCAGACAGATGCTGGTTCAGAAAGGTGTCTCTGAACACAAAGACATCCATGATCCCAGTGTGCAATCAGTATTCATTTTACATCTGTGAGATGGATGGCTCATGAGTGCGAGTCATTGTGGTGCCTTTAGAATCCAAATGTGCTCAGTTTTTCCAATCTGTTCTTCACTGATGTATAATTTTTAATTTTTTTTTTATTTTTTTGGACAGAGCTGGAGTGTGATTGGAGGCAAAAAGAAGCCAGTGCTGGTTAGGACCTCCTGTTCCTCCACCTGCCAACCTCCAGCCACACCTGTTCTGCTTTTTCAGGCTTAATTCACAAGCAAGTTCAGCTTCTGCAGCAGAGTTAAGCCAGAGCCAAATCTGGCTGACAAAAGGGAGATTCTAGAAGGAAAGCAGCCTGTTTCTTACTTTGCCAAACACACATCAATGCCTCTGTAAGGAGCAGAGAAGGCATTGAGGGGTCTGTCTGCATCAGCGAGGCAGAAGGTTTGGGAAGGCACCATCTGTGAGCTGGGAGAGGGAAGCCCTGGAGACTGAGGTTAAGAGTAGATCCTGTGGTGCCCTAGGGAACAGCTTTGGTTTTGTGCTAACTGGGGGAAGCCCTGGGCAAAGAAACAGGAATTTAGTCTTTTTTTTTTTTTTTTTTTTTTTTTTTTTTTTTTTTTTGTATGAGGAAAGTGACTCTTTCCTCCTGCAACCAAAGTGGTGAGTGATTTGTGAGAGGGAGAAGAGCCCAGCAGCTTGGAGGGCTGGCTGTCTCCAGGAGGAAAAGCTCCATGTGTCTCAGAACATGTAAACTTGGGAGAAAAAGAACAAGCTTTGCAGAAAAGATGTGATTTGGTGGAAATGAGATATCTGTGGGCCACTGAAGAGTGAAGCCCAGCAGAGGGAGCAAGCCAAAGGCGTCTGCCAAAATTGTGAGAAGCTGGAAGAGAAAACTGTCTCTAGAAGTGGAGCTAACGCAGCACCTTGCACTGTAACTGCATTACCCTGTAACTGTCAATCCCAAAATTATTCCCCATAGCCTTCAAAATGCAGACAGCTCCCTCTGAACTCCCAGCTGTTAATGGAGTTTTCCCCATTGTCTTTGCTGCTCAGGCTGCTTTTGCACTGGTGCCACACTCCATCTCCGTGCCCTCCTCCATCTCCTGTAAAGCACATGCCATCTGCTGTGGTGATTATGTCAGGAGCTTTGGCAGCTGCCTTCTCACTTAATTGTCCACATTTCTTAACATGTGCTTCCTGCAGCATATTTTAATAACGGCTCTGCAGGCTGGGTTTGAGTCTCTGTGGTGGGTGGAGGGAACCCCCACCATGTGCAGAGCGGGGCAGTTGGTTTCTGTTCACAGGTTATCTGGCTGGAATTTGGAATTCTGCCCTTGTAGCTCGAGTTTGTCCCTGGAGATGCTTCCCTGTGTCCATGTTTGTATCTTCTGGGCTCCTGTGTTGGCTGTGGAGACAAGCCCTCTCTCAAGAGGGTCATTTGGAGCAGGAGCTTGGATAAGCTGCTGTGACTCTGTTTTTCCTCTTGACTCTGAGGGGAGCTAGCACAGAGGAGCTGCCACAGGTTTCCCATGCTGGGAAGTGTGAATACCCCAAGCTCTGACTGCTGGGAGCCACTGCTTCCCTCCAGAGACTGTGTAGGACCCTGGCACGAGGAGTGTGAAGTAGGTTATGAATAGGTACTAAAACGTTTAGTAATGGATAGGTAGGGTGTGTAACTCCAGCACCTATCTCTACTCTGCAGAGACACAGATTAAAAAATTGTAATGAAGACAATCTATCCTTTAGAATAAAACTTCCAACCTGTTGCCTTGTTTTGTGGTCAAGAGGGGTTGTTGATTCTGCATCAAACTGACCTGAGGGGGCTGCTGGGGCACCCAGCACTCGTCACTCATCTGCAAAGGGATGCAGCTGCTCTGTTCAGCCACTCCTGAGTTTGTCTTTTACTCCCTACAGGGCTTTGCCATGTCCTGTAAGCTCAAAAATTCGAATCTGGGTATTCTTTTCTCAAATGTGAGGGAAGTGTGGTCATTTTTAAGTGAGCATCTGGCTGCACATCAAACCCCTGCACCACTTGAGTGGTATTTCACTCTGTAACCTCCTCAACAGCCTGGTTGAAGGTATTTAACAAGCAAAGACAAGAACAGCAAAACAAAAAGCCTCTCGGGGTAGGGAGGATAAGGAATTGCTGGGGAGGTGTTTACAAGAAGCTGCAATCAGCACCCTGAGGTCAGCTTGGCTGGGCAGTCTGACCTGGGGCTGACAGAAAGTGCAGAAAAAACAGATCTGAAGAGTGTGGAAGGAAGTCAGAAATGGTACAGGAGCTTGTCAGGTGTGTTAAAAGCTAAGAACAGAGGAAGGTCTGTTGTGTTTTGAAACTCACTTTGGGGTTATGGAGTTCATATTTTTCAGTTCCCTGTGGTGGGGAGAGCATGTCCACAGCACATGGTTCTGGGACAGGACACTTTGTGCTGCCTTGTTTACCTTTTTCTTCTATATTTTCGAAGTTAATCTCCCAAGCCCAAAGGCTGAGGATTTTTTTCTGGGTGCAGGAACCACTAGCAAAATGTTCTTGGGTCTGCAGTCTAGAAAGTGTCATTCTAATTTGGAAGCTGCTCATGCCTGCTTCCAAACTATGCTATGGGATAGTCAAATAGGTTTGTTGGAGTGCTGTAAGGCTGCCTCAGAAATGGTTTAGAAGAAGCCTGCCTGTGAAATATGTTTAGATTAGATAATAGGAAAAAATTCTTCCCTGTCAGAGTGATGAGGCCCTGGCACAGGTTGCCCAGGGAAGCTGTGGCTGCTCCATCCCTGGAAGTGCTCAAGGCCAGGTTGGATGGGGCTTGGAGCAACCTGAGATAGTGGTCAGTGTCCCTTTCCATGGCAGAGGGGGTGGAACCAGATGATCTTTAAGGTCCCTTCCAACCCAAAATCATTCCATGAGGGAATATAAAGCCAATGTACTTTGATCTGTGCTGCCATTTCCTGAGAGTGGGGATCTCAGAAACTTTAGGTTTTCCATTTATTTACTATGACCTCCATCTGACAGCCTGTCTGACACTCTTAGAGTCAACAGGGATCTCTTTGCAACTTTTCCCTCCAGGACAGCGAACTCCTGACGTTCAACATCTCCCGGCACCAATCGTGGTGGAGTGAAAATGGCCCTGGCTGTGTAAGGAAGGAGGCTTCAATGTCTGGCATCAAGGGGCTGGATAACCATTCCTACATCTCTGTCATAGGCTGTGCCCTGGAGTACAGGTACATCGAGGTCATGCACAGCTCCTTCCAGATCCTGATTGCGGTGAGTACATCACTGAGGGGTAGCATTTGTTGAGGAGATGCTGTTTGGTTTTGTTTTTTCCCAGGCACAGAGGTTGGCCCATAGTTTCCACCACATTTTGTATCATCTGATTGAAAAAGCCTCTGTAAATGCATTTTGTCTGATTGTTCTCCTGTTCTCTCTTTTGAAAAGTGTTGCTTGAAAGAATTGGAAATGGGTACCAGCAACCTAATGCCTGAAGTAATGCATCCATCCAACCACACAATAACAAATCATTCTGTACCCTGTTGGGGGGGGTGGAAATTCATGTTTTAACAAGGACAGAGACCCTTCTGGAGAGGGGTAAAGAGACAAGAGTTTTGATAGGATGAGAGGAAATATCCTTAAGTCGCACCCAGGGAGGTTTAGTTTAGATTTTGGGGACAATTTCTTCACAGAAGTGGTTGTAAAGCACTGGAACAGACTGCCCAGGGAAGGGGTGGAGTCACCATCCCTGGAAGTGTACAGAGAATGTGTGGATATGGCACCTGAGGACATAGTTTAGTGATGAGCGTGGTGGTGGTGCTGGGTTGATGATTGGACTTGATCTTAAAGGTCTCTTCCAACCTTAGTACTTCCATGATTCTGTGAAGGATTGCTCACATTCCCCGTGACTTAGTGATGGGTGCCAGAGCACACAGATGGACGTTTGTTGTGAAGAATTAAAAGAGAAAAGATCCTCATCTTCAGAAAATGAAAAAAAAAAATTAGGGAAGCAGTAAGCAGCATATTTCCCTTTTGCTGACACCCAGGATATATGCACTAAATGTTCTCATCCACTCTTTCCTCATCAGTCTTCCACAGGCTTTTTAAAGTACTCTACAGCAGTGCAATGTCCTTAATGTTCACTGTTAATTATTTCTCACTTGTCTGTGAAATTAACTGAAACAAAATGTCTGTTTTCCCCCTCACTTTGTGGGTGCTCTTGCATTTTGTAGCTGCATTAGAGTCAGCAGCCCACATCTCTAATCTGCTTTGGGTTGTTACTTTGAGGTTAATGGCTCTAAGTGCAGATGTGGAATGGTGAAACATTCACATTTTGGCTTCCAGTTTTGGCTTAAAAAAGAGAAGTATCTTGCCCTGTTTAAATATTAAAGGACAACAAATAGTGATTTTCCAAGTTTCTGGATTGCCAAGTACTTCTCTGCACGTTTTTGGTCCTACTTTCCATTGTCCTGATCCTGCATTTCCTATTAGCTGGGATGATCTGTGTGACCCAGTGAACTGCAGGGAGGGGGGAAGACTCAGCCCCCTTTCTTGCCATGTCACAGAGAAGAGGCAGATGGAGAAGCTCCTGTTTCCTGAGTTGGATGGACTCCCTGGCGTGTGCTGGCTGTTAATATTCCGTTAGTTCTCCTTCAGGGAAAATGATCTGCATGAAACTGTCTGAGCTGCTTCCACACACGTGTGTGAGAAAGGCAGAGCTGTGCATCCAGGAGAATAGAGCCTGTTGTCCTTTAGAAAGGGCTGTTGGCTGGAACAGGATTGGTGGTGCTGAGCTGGTGCTGAGCCCGAGTTTGGTGAAACAATTGACAGATTTGGAAGTCAGAACATCCCTTTTTAAAGCACAAAAGTTTGTTACTGTTCACATCCTTCCTGAACTCCTGAGCTGGCACAGCCTCTGTGCCCTGGGCTAGAGGTTGAGCCAACAAACAGTCCTGAGTTTGCTTGGAGCAGATCTTTGTTTTTTGGCAGCTTACTGACTTAGGCACGTGGCCTTGGGCTAAGTGGTCACACTGATATATAGAACTCTGTCTCTGGCAGTGGTTTTCCCTTTGCTTCTTCCCAAAGGCACGTGACAATATTCTCTGTGCATCTGCAAAACACCACTAAGGGGCCAGATGGGGAGACAGGAGAGAAATAGAAGATAAAATAGGATTTAGGCAAATATTTTCTCTCTCCTTCTCCCTCAGATCTAGGGCAAAATGGGTTTTTGAATCCTAAACTCTGGAAATGAGGCTAAAATACTTGTAGGCAAGAAACCCATATGGGCTGAGCTATGCAGGGAACTAAGTTTCTACTTGTTCTGAAATAAAAGGAGAGTATTGAAGCCCCAGGCCTGTAACTGCTGCTGGCTCTGGAATGCTCATATAATTTTGTCATGCAGTGGGAGAAATAGAGCTTTTCCCCTCTGCTTTGAGGTCAGGCAGAAAGCAAATCTTCTCGCTTTCTCCCTCAGACCTTGCCTGAAAGCAGTCAGCCAGTTCTCTCCCTTTTTACTCTCTGAGGGTCAAACTCTTTGATCCCTGCCAGTATCTTTTTCTGTTCTCTTTATCTCACTTTGAGGCAGGTTTTATTACAGGCAGCTGTCCCCGGGGCTCTGGCAGGTACAGGGCTGCAGACAGGCAGATCGATGGTACAAAAACACGACCAGGAACTTGAAGGCTCAGGGGATGCAGCAAGAGACATGACCTAGTTCCCTCCTTGTCTGAGACCAGAATAGCCAGTTCCCTGTTAAGAAGGGCAAGGGACAGACAAAACTGTGTTTTCTGTAGTTTGTTTTTGCTTTGCCTAATGGTTTTTAGAAGTTGTGAAGGTGTGGTTGTGTGCTCGGCTTTGTTTGGTTTTTATCCCAGATATAGCACTGCGAAATCCATGGTCTTTAGCTATGCAGCACCCAGCTGTGGGTATTTTGGTTGTTTTCTGGAAGAACCAATTCCTTGAGACTACTGCACAGTGTTGTGTGTGTGGGGCAAGGCTCACCAAATTCAATCTTCCACACCAAAGGAGAGGGAAAGCAAACCTGAACCCATATGGTGACCACAGTGTTGGCTGTCATCTTGACTCCTGCTGATGTATCATCCTGCTCCTGGGCATACATTTGAGGATACATAAGGTCTCAGTCTGCTTTTGCTCAGAGCTTGTCTGTACTCCTTGAAGGCAAAAGCAATCCCTTTAATCTGGAATGCCATCAAACTTGGGCATATTAGTCACCACATTGATACAAGTAGCTGTAGGGCCCAACATGAAAATCTTTCTCAATGCTTTAGCATGAAATACATCGGAGGAATAAGCTTATTGTGACATCTAAAAGTCTGCACTGGTATAGAAATGAACTGTAAAACTAATCCTGCCAGCCCAGTTAGGGAATGGAACAGCAACTGCCTTGTTAAGGAAAGAAATCTGCTTTGTTTTTTGTCCTAGCAAGGATTCATCTTGCCTCTCCCCAGCTTGCCAGCCAGCAGGGAGAGGAGTGATTCCCAGTTCTGAAATACCTGGCGTAGCTCTGGGCTGTCCATATGGTAGTTCTGGGAATGGGGAGGGTTAGACTTTTCCTGAGGCTTCATTGAATTTGGTAGAAATTGGAAGTGTCTCACTGCCTGCCTGTCTGCTGTTTTCAGTCAGACTGACAGGTTGGAAGGTTCCCAGGAAGGCAGCAATGCAAGCCTTGACAGCAGATGTTATGTGAGAACCAAGGCACAAGAGATGCTTTGCTCTTGGCAGAAGGTAGATTTTCAGTGGCTGTATTGCATCCAAGGAGTAAAGAAGGTCAGGGAATCAAAGGATTTTGATTGCCTGCCTTTGGCTATCTGGCCACGATAGCCCTTTCACAAGCTGGATTTTTGCTTTCTCATAGCAGAGATCTCTTCATTTCCCCCTCTTGCACTGATGAGAGTGTACACACTTCATTAGCTCTGATTAGAAGTGAAACCTAGAATGCATCTACCCTGAAGGAGGAGACTCTGCACCTACTCTATGTGGTGAAAAAAGCAACAGCAAGTTTGTCTATTGAGAGAAGAGTTGGAGGGTCCAGACTCTTCACTAGGACAGAAGTAGACTAAGATCTTACACAAGCAACAGTAACACCTCCTAAAATTTGCCTTCCCATCCTTCGTGTATTTTGCACACTTGCAGCCAGCTGGTCCCTTTTCTGTAGCTCTTGCTCTAATTCAGTCTTTCTGGCTCCAGCACCTCAGTTCGATGCTGCTGTTTTAGGAATCGCTGTGGATAAGTTAACTTCAGAGGGCTGAGGGGCAGAGGGATGTTCAGACATATGTTTTCCTCATTCCCTTTGGGCACACTTGTCTCTTCCTGTCTTTCCTGCTCTGTTTATTTGCCTGCAGAGTGCTCGGGATGCCCCAGCTCCATCCTCTTTTGTTCGGCAGCATGTGCATTCCCAGGCTGTCTGACGGGCTGACGGAACACACCTGCCTACAACATGTGTTCCTAATAAAAAGGCTTAATTGGATACTTGTGCAGCTTGGAGAAAGCTGGTACTGAACAGGCAGAACAAGCAGAGAAACAGCAGCAGAGGCTAAAGCCCTAGAACATTCTTTGGGGAATTAGAGCAGTAGCTTAGTGTCATTTTACATCTTCCACCTCCCCTGCGTAATTTGCAAAGATCTAAGAATTATTTTTGTTCTCCTAAGATAGTAGAGATTAAGGCCCTCTTTTTGCATTGAAATCAGCAACCAAGATGTGCAAGGGTGGGATTCCAAATTCTTGGCCTCCGTGAGGCTTTCTGCTCTATGTTAATTGCTCAGAACCTGAGTGATGTCTGGGGGCTTGATACATCTTCATCAGGGACTCAGTAAAAAAAGAACTGTTGGTGTCTCCTGGAGTCTGCTCATCCCAAACCCTAGCAGACTCTTCCAGTGGAAAGGACTGGACAGTATGCATGGCATTTCTGCTCTGTAGCTATATTTCATTCTTAATTCATTCTGAAGGACATAGGGATTCCTGTGAGTTCAGTTAATCCCTGAGATGGTATGTTTAATTACAGTTTGGGTCAGCCCATATAAAAACGCAGCTCATGTTTTGTTGTACATCTGTTTGCCACTGAAACTCTCCTGTTCTGGCCAGATCACAAGACTAAAACAACTTCTTTGAATAAGAAGTACCATTAAATAAACAGGTTTTTTTATTGATGAAATTCATATAAAGCAGGAATGGACTATAAAGTCAATAAAAAGGAGATTTTAAGCACTAAGTAGGTAATTTTGAAACAAAGGGAGGAGATGGAAGAAATAAAAAAAGAAAACCCTCCACTCCAACGGAGCTGGAATTAGAGACTTAGGGAAGTTCACTTCATTCACTAGTTTTTGTTTGATTGGTTTGTTGTTATGAATGCAAAAAGTCACCTTAGTCATAAAAGGAAAAATGTATGGGGTGAGTGGAATGATGGTTGAGGGTTATGAGGCATTAATTTCTGTGCAAAACAAACTTCCCAAGTCACTCCTATCACTTGGTGCTTCTGAACCGTGAAAAATGCTCGGAGGTTTATCAGGTTTGCTGTGACAGTGCAGCTGATAATCGCTCACACACTCTGCCCATAAACTGGGCAGGTAAATCATTTTCATTGTTAATTCTATCAGGAGTTTCCTGACACGGGTATCACATAAGATTTGTGTCTACATGTTATAGAGTATAATAATAGTGAATGGATTTCGGGCTGCCACTTTACACGGCTGTTAACCCAAAAGTTCCTACTCTGAGGCAAGATGGGAAATCTGGGGAGGGAGAAGACTGTCCTAGAGTTCCCTTAGAATCAGGGTAGACGTCCAAGATGCATCTTTCCTGCTTTTCTGTGTGTATGTAAATCGCATGGTTTGATGTTATGTGAAAGGCTGGATCTCCAACCCATGAAAATGCCAGAGCGAGTGCAGAGGGTGTGTGTGACCACACTCCTAATTTGTTGCTTGGGCAAATGCATTTAAGCTGGAGACCAGAGTGAGCAGAAGGGTGGGTGGACGTTTCACGGAATGCTGGGATGTGCAGAAAGCACTCTGTTTTTTCCAAGAGCGTCTCTCGGTGTTAGCGAGGTCAGGTCCCCCCGCCCAGGGGCGAGCGCTCACTGCGGCTTTCCCGGGGCTCCCGGGAGCGGCCTCGGGGCTTCAGCACCACGGCCAGAGCCCGGCCCGGGCTCCGAGTCCTGGAATCCTTTGGGTTGGGAAAGCCCTCCAAGATCATCAAGTCCACCTGTTCCCCCAGCACTACCAAGCCCAACCACTAAACCATGTCCCCAAGTGCCACATCCACCTGTCTTTTACATCTCTCCAGGGGTGGTGACTCCAGCACTGCCCTGGGCAGCTGTGCCAGGGCTGGATAACCCTTTTAGAGAAGAAATACTCCCTGATATTCAGTCTAAACCTCCCATGGCACAACTTGTCTGCTTGTTACTTGGGAGCAGAGCCTGACCCCCATCCAGCTCCACCCTCCTGTCAGGGCGTTGCTGAGAGCAAGAGGGTCCCCCTTGAGCCTTCTTTTCTGCAGGCTGAGCCCCCCAGATCCCTCAGCTGCTCCTCATCAGGCCTGTGCTCCAGACCCTTTCTCAGCTTTGTTGCTCTGTCCTGCCCCAAAACTACCACAAACTTAAAGAAAAAAAAAAAAAAACCAAAAACACTCCAGGTTTTATGTTAGCACAGTATAGGCAATAGGAGAGCAAAAAAGTCTCTGATTAATCTGATTGTTTTGTTCAGCTTTGTCTGCCTTTAGAAAGCAATGCTTCCACTCAGAGGCAATTCTGAAAGTCAGCAGGTACAATTAGACTGGCCATTGCACGTGGTCTTGTGGTTAGCATCACACCCAGAGGATTTATTTTACCCTGTCACTCGTTGAAACTTAGCCTGAAGCAGCCCTGGTTTCAGAAATGCACAGCAGGGGAATGAGGGAGTCCCCAGAGCTACCCCTCCTCCACAGAGGTACTGGGATATACTTCCATAAGGCTCACCCAAGAGGACAGGAGTGAGCTGGCTTGTCTTTCATATGATTATAGAAAAATGTAAAGGAAAAACGGGGTTTAGTGATGCTACAAAAACATTCCAATTCCTTTCCAACAAGGCGTGTTTTGTCAGGGAGAGCTGGAAAAACCCCGAATGTTGTATAACTCCCCAGTAGAAATCTCATTATCTTGCCTTTTGTTTTCTGGTGTGATGTATTTTTCTGTCATATTAAAAATGAATGGACTCTACTTTTCAAGCCCTACCATGCATCATTCTGTCTCCCCTTGGAGTGAGTCACTGTGTGTTACAGGCTGACTCTTGCTCGAAAGAATTGAGTTCACAGTGGAAAACAATTATGCCTCACAATAACTTTACTAACACAGTTACTGTCAACCAAGATCTCTCTAAGTGGGGTGTTATGTAAAGATGTAAAATGAAGGATGGAGAGGATATTTGATTAACAGGAAGAAGGCAAAGCAAAATAAGACCCTTCTGGATCTAGAATGCTTAACTCTCGTAGTACCAGGAGTTTGTTTCTCTGTTTAGGCTGAGTAACAACTTGCTACTGAGGCTGAATGAGGTAGTTCTGATGTGTTAGAGCTTCTACAAACTACCAGCTGAGCTACTAAAGATTTCAGTGTCTCTGAATATTTCTGCCACTACATCACCATTTTTAGGGTTAACTACCTTCTCATCTGCACAAAAACTACTCACATCTGATTGGTAGCTCCTGCACCGAATTAATTTCTCTTCCCTTGCATGCCCCATATGACAGGAATGCAGAGCTGACGAGTTCTTGTCCCTGGACCTCCTAGTAAAACCTACCCCTGTGTGTCTCCTGTGTGTAGCCATCTGTCTAAAATGTTACACAAGGCCCTCTCCTGCATCCCCATCACTTCTCACAGAGAGTTTCAGTTTCAACAAAGCCAACCCACGTTCTTGCCAATCACTCACCCAACTGCATGCTGCTACTCTGAAGGTGAGGGTGAGCCTTGCAAGTTTTTATTTTCAAGCTTTGATTGTGCTCCATTAGCATCTTCCCTGACACCTACACCTGCACCTCCTGCCTACAGCAAATAAGACTTGGCTCCACCATCACAGTAATGCTGCCAAGAGGAGTGTAAATACTGGCTGTTGAAGTGCTGCTGAGCTGGTTTTGACCGGGCTCACACGACTGATTTTAAAATTATTTATTCTCTCTGTTTTCCAGCTGGTGGGCTTTGTCTACGCCTGTTACGTTGTTAGTGTTTTTACAGAAGAAGAAGACAGCTGTAAGTATTTATCAGCAGATCCCTTGGCAAAAGGTTATAGTGATTTTTATTTCTCTCTCAGATGTTTGTCTGTCAGGACTGAGTTGCTATCAGATTTCTTTCCATCTCTGCCTCTATGGGATGTGGCACTACCTGCCTCTCCAGGATCAGCTGGTTTTACTGTGAGGGTTTTTCCCCCCCATGTCAGTATGTGTTAGATGCTGTAATTCTGCTACACTTCCACCATAAAAGAGCTTGGTTTTGACTTCTCAGCTGGACTAAGCTTTAGAGAAACTGGGCAGCTGCTTCTGTTCTCAAGCTTGTATAGCCTAAGAATAATGCTACTGAAATATTACTGCTGCGATTAAGAGCACCTACGACAATTCATCCCAGTAGGTGACCTGCTGAGTCTCATGTGCCACAAGCTGAGGATGAAGGAGAACATGAGATTTCTTGCCAAGGACCAATCTGACCACTTAATTTAAGAGCAGAGGAAGTACTGTACTTGAATTACAAGGAGGAGGGAGGAGCCAACCCCCTCATGTTTGGCACACAAATCTCTTCAGTGACGTGCCGTCACTGGACGTGTGTCAGCAAAGACTCCAGGGCATTGCCTGGGTCTGTGGGATCTGTGCACGTATCCATAACCTGACCTTGGATTACTTTGCCCTTCTAAAACCCAAAACGTTGAGACCAATAATTTTTACCAACAGGAGAATGGATGCAGAGAGTTAAAATAGACGTGGAGTTTGATTTCTTTGGCAATGTGCTGGGCCTAAGCCAGTTCACTCCAGCAAAGGGTCTGATCCACAGGCTTTGCATCCAAATATCAATTCTTTAAGACATTGATTAGGTTTGTGCAAGCAGCTTTGTTGTTTTAAAGAGCAGCTGGAATGGATGAGAGCTGAAAAACAACAACTGAATATTTGAAAGTGTGTGAAGAATGTGTTTTCAGAGGAGTGAGAGGAGATGCATTACTTATCTGACTTGTCCTCATGTTTTTTTTCTTCCTTCCTGTGTGGCTGAACTCATTCTAGTGGCTTTATTGATCATTTTGTTTAGAGCTTGGCAGTGCACTTAGAGAAGGTGCTACATTATAGTAATATTTTTTAAATTACCCTATAGCTCTTCTATTAGCTAAACAGCTTCAGTTTTGAGCCCCTGCTGAATATTGTAAAGCAGTAACTTGACAGAGCTCATTTTTATAGTAGGGATCCGTTAGGAGAAGCAACCACATGGAAGGAAGCTTTATCTAGAAACACAGAGCTGTTAATTTCAGGAGACATATTATTTTTTTTTTCCACTAACAAATTCACTTTCCCTCCCAGTTTCCCAGCTTGGAGTTAAAATGCCAGCTTGAATAATTAACAATGACAAACCATCAATATTTCACACTCGCAGGGGTAGATCCTTCCAGTGACCTGAATAAATTTGAGCTGCGTTTTAATTTTCTCTTCCATTTGTGGTTTCCTTTAAATGTTGCTTTGATATGCAGCATGAAGTAATTATAAGTGCTGAGGCACATTAATCAGGAAGCTCCTGCTAACGTGATTTTCATGAGAAAACACAGCAGTAGGGATCTACTAATGCTGATTTGTGGGCAGGAATATTTTAGATGTGCTAATGCACTGTAATATATTGCAACAAAGAACCACTCTTAAGATTTTTTTTTTTTAAGTGACTTGGATTTTGAGTGCACTCAACCATTATCCCATAGATGCTCAGATGATAGGACTTGTGTTTGTTCAAGGTACTAGTTACTCAACTGCAGTTCTTTAAGGTTTCCTAATTTAGACATTCCACAACTGAGGTAATAAAGTGTCTGTTTTTTAAAGGTGCAGCCTTTTTTTTGATTTTAAGATACTCAAATGTTTTCAAAATTGGCTGAGGAAAGGTCAAGTCTCACTGGAACTATTTGGGAATTATCCCCACAATTAACTTAGAACCTCTACAGATTTCACCCATTACCTGACAGTTGTTCCAAACTCACAGTGTCAGCATGAAGCTCTCCATCAAGATGGAATTTCTCAGAATCTCTTGCCCTTAGGTTTCTATATATATTTTTAAGAGGTTTTTTTTCACATTCAGTATATTAGTAACTATTTTTTTCTGTTGTTTGATCACTGAAAAATACCAAAACTCTTCAGCTAAAATTTAAAATAATAGTGCCACCTTCAGGTACGAAAAGTAAACAGGCACTTATATAGTTAATAAGACTTTCCAGTCATTTTTAGCTGGCACTTGGACAGGATGGCTTTCACACTTCCAAACGAAATGCACTAACTTGGCACCAAAAAGTGGTCTAAGCTGACTCTGTTTTAAAGGGTTTTGCAAGGCCTGCAAGGTCAGTCACAAATCACACCACATCACACCCCTCCTGCCCTGGCTGTGCTGGCCAGCTCAGTGATACAGGCTTGGCTTAATGTCAGGGGAACTGAGACAGGCTTGGAAAATGCTTCTCTGGTTACTAAGGGAATTGTCACTTAAAACTCTCCCTGCTGAGTTACGCTGCCCTTCTGTGAACAGTGGAGAAGGGAAGCTTTGTTCCTATTTGTACACAATTAAAAGAAATTGAGTTGGCAGAGGGGACGTGAAAAATATCAGACTGAGGATAATGAGGTGCTTGCAGTTTTCCAAAGCTGCTGTTGTCTTGCAGGAAAGACAAGTGGGGCAAGAAAATTCCCACTTCACTCTATAGCCTTCAAGGGGATTGCTGTGCTGCCAACTTCTCCCTGGCATTCACTCAGGAGCCGTTCCCCAGCTTCCTCCCTTGGGCACAGTGTGGAATGGCCGAGCCTTTGTAGGTTCATTCTCATGTGAAGTCACAGCGTGCTGGCAATATCCAAGGAGGGGGTTTTTTTGGAGTCTTTTGTTAGCTCTGCTATAAGTCTTTTGTTGGCTGAATCTCCTCTTTGGCACATTTGCCCATCCCAGCAGATCCCAGGAATCCATACCTGAAAAATCATTTTTCTGTTCTGTCACTAATTTTTGTGTTATGCCATGACATGCACATTTCCTTTCTCTCATTTCCTTTCAACTTTCTGGCCATGTTTGTTTGTTTATTTGAGTTTTGATTTTTTTTCAGTTGATTTCATTGGTGGATTTGATCCATTTCCTCTCTACCATGTCAATGAAAAACCCACCAACCTTTTGTTCAAGCAGACATACCTGTAAGTATCATCTCCTGTGCTAAAGAGGCTGTGCTGAGTGTCTCTTGGTTTGGTGGCTCAAGGGTACCACAGGTTTGGGTTTTTCTCCTCCTTGCAGGTTGATTTCTCCAACAGGCTTTTCAGGCATGGAAGGAAGGAAAGAATGGACACCAGAAGGGGTGAAGCAGCCCCTGCTGAGCCCCAGGGTGAAGTTGGAGTTGCTGTGCTTGCCTTATGGCAGTGCTGTTGGATAGGAAACAGTGGGGCCAGCTATAGGATATTATTGTAAACAAACTACTGGATGCCTTTTCCTTGAAGAAAGCAAAGGGAGGTTTTTTTCAGCCATGATTGGTTCCCAAGCAGAAGCTGTGAGGGAAGAAGGGTCAGCCACAGCACTAGCAGAACATGATCCTCACTGTCAAGGTTAAATTGTGGTCTGTCAGGCAAAGCTTCAACGAAACATTTGTACTGGGGTAAAATTTATACAACATCAAGTTATTTAAGCTGTATTTAGCTCTGTGGACAGTCATAACTGAGCTGTGACCTACACATCTGTGTCATTTTAACCACAGCCCTGTCTGTGTCATCTTCCAATAATCCTCTCACAGTAACACCACAAAATTTGACTTTGTTTTGGGAACAGGGTCTCCCTGTCCCTGCTTGTACTTCCAGGGATCCTGGAGGGTAAAAAGGTGAATTAAATTTAAGTGAGCTTTAGATGGTTTGTATTCAGGATGGCACAGGTTTGCTCTTAAAGAGTTTTTTTTTTAATTTATTTATTTTAAATTCTGTTGCCTACAAGAACTGAGGCATCCATGTGTGGGGCAGCCCAAGAGTTCAGCTGAGAGCACAGCTCTCAGCAGAAAGGGGAGTTCTCCACAGCAGCATCTCTCATACCAGTAATAAAGATCCATTGTTGAATTCCCCTTTCTGCCCTCTAATAATCCCTTCCACTGCTGAAGGCACAAGATCACAATTTCACTCTGTCCACTTAAAAGCTAGTTCTTAATAAGCTTCTGAAACATAAAGGCCAGTATTGTCTGCTTAAAACAGCAAGGAGATGTGATTTTTTCATATTCTTTAAATTGATCTGTAAGAGGCAGTTCAACATGTAGAGGTTTTTTTGAAGCAGCTGCTAAGAGAGGTTGTTTTGAGGAATAATGTTACCAGAGAGTAACAAAAGGAAGGATGTGAGAAGGAAGGAGAAGACTGGGACCAAGGGAAGAAAAACTCCCCCCAAATAGATTGGTAGATGTGCCCCTCTAATTTCACAAGAACTTACTGCCCACTTTGTCACTGCAGCACAAGATCAGGAGAACAACTAATTTTTGCAAAGCAGTTGAATTCCCTGTAACTTTGGGGGTTCTGTACTGTTATTACAAGGGATGGTACAGGAGATTAAATATTGATTTCTCTCTCATTTTGTCACAGTGGGGTGGAATTTTTCATAGTCTGCAGAAGCTGTGGAGCCTTAAGCAGCTCCCTGATTTACTCCTTTGATGCAGCAGCCTGCTGAAGGAACATCACACACTTTTACAGTGCTGGGTTTGGGCTGTTTTTTACTTCAAATGACCGATTCTGCTTGTGAAAGGGGCGATCACTTATAAACGAAGTTTTCTATGTGGGGAGACTAGAATACAGACAGAACTTCAAAATGTAAGACTTCCTGCCAGGGCCTCAGTAAGATGGGAAGCTGAAGTACACAGATAATTTTGCTGTTCCTCACTCCCATTCTTCAGCCCATCACTTCTCTGCTGATGGCTTCTGCCACCACACAAGAATATTTCTTTCTGGCTAACAGCACGTGAAAACAGCTGCTGAGCAGTAGATAAAGTGACCCTCTATAAATTTCACAGCAGCCACCAAACAGCAATTTCTGCTTATTTATTTCAGCCTTGCTATTGCCTTTCTTCCACATGTAGGAGTGGGAGTGAGGGGAGGAAGGGATTATTGATTCTCAACTAATGATACCATGGAGTGTTGCAGTCTGGGGCACTGAGTGCCAGATGCCCTGGTCCTGCTGTGAAAATCCTTTAGTGATGGCTTGAAGGCATTTTTTTTTTTATATCCTGTTCAAGAAGATGCAAAACAACAAATACATCCAACTTCTTTGAAGCGTAAATTTATAGAAGAGCTAAGGATCTGGAACATAGGCTTTCTGGTTTTAACTCCTTTTTGTTAATGGAAATGCTGAACAAAACCAAATATATTCCACACAACTACTGACTTGGAGCTGACTACAGCCATGAACTTTTATTTCAGGATGGCATCACTCCCTTGTCCTGGTAATGCACTTGCTGGGCTGACACAACTCTCTAACAGGATCACTTTCCTTGCTTCCCTAATGGAATTATCCTATTCACTCCAGTTTTATCCTTTTCTGATAAGATCACACTCTTTCCTCTCAATGTGCCCTTTTTCCCTTGTCCTGGCTTGCATTTTTCCCTAATCTCTCTTCTTCATCTCTCCAAATTTATGAGTTTTCAGAGACCCAAGGCCCCACAGAACACTGACATGACCTGGACTGATAAGCACAGTTTATACCCAAGACTAACTCTCACAATCTCTGTATTGAACACACAGCCCAAGTTAGAAAACTTTTAAATATGCTGCCACAGATACTAAAGGGAAAGTGCAGTGTTCCTTGGCAGCCTAATTCAGTGGTTATCAGCTGCTAAATTCAGTATTCAAACTGTACACTCCATTTCTGGCCCTCAGCTTCCATCCACTGCTCTGCAAGAAGTTCTTAAATACCTTTGCCTCCTACTAGGAGGAAAAAACATCCCTCCAAAACCTTTTACTGATAATAGGTACTTCCAGACCACAATCCAGTTATCTCCCAGCTTCATCATAGTGATATACTGCCTTCCTTGACCTCAGTTGCAAATCTTCAGTTAGTGGAAAACCTGACAAATTATCAAGTCAGCTGTTATTTTTCTCTATTAAAAAAAGCCAACAGCAACAAAAATCAACCATCATTTTGTACTATTGCTTAAAATGGCAACATTTAAGTGTGCTTTATCTTAATTTGTACCTCCAACACTTACACAGCAAAAAATGGTTGTCTAAAAATACAGTTATTTCTATTTAGGTTCCACAACTGTTTCTGCTCTACATTTCATTGACTCCAGGGGAGTTTTGCTGGGATAGTTACTATTTCAAGTCACAACCTTAAGTAAAAGAAGCTCAAATTATCATGGAAAAATTGCTCTGGAAGTTTTACTGTGTAGCAGAAATACCCTTAATCTCACTGCTGATTACCAATTAAGGGACTACACTAGTTATTTAATAATAATATATCAGGAATCTCGATAGAAGACACGTTAAAGTCTTCAGTGCCTGAGTTTCTGTGTCAAAGTTCTTAGCCAAAGGATAATAAATCACTTACTGAAAGTCAGAGTTACTCTCCTGAGGCCAAAAGAGTTTTCAGGAAGGAAAGGCTGAGCCCTTTCCCCTCCTTTAGCTAAAGCCCAAGTTCAGGCTGGTGCTGGCACCACTGTCTCCCCTTGGGCTGCACAGCTCAGGCCCTCAGCTCCAGGTTTTGTTCCTGTTCACTTGTAGTCACAGAACTCTCATCATTTGAGGCAAAGAAGCATTTTTGCACCGATAACTGTGGACATTTCCCACTAAAGCTCTCATCTCCAAGCACCCTGCACTACTTGCCAAAGCAGGAGGAGGCCCAGAGCATCCTGATCATTTGTCAGCACTTCCCTCCTGCTGCATCCATTTAGTCTCTTGACATCATTCTCCAAATTTGTTTCGGAAAGCATTGCTGTGCAATCTCAATTATAAAGCAGAATAGCCTCAAAGCACGATTTTGTACACAGTTTAGTGCTAAAGCAAGAACCTGCTGGGTGACAGGAGGTAGCCTCTATTTATTTAAAAGGTACAAGGATGAGCAATAGATCTTCCTGCCTTTTAAGACTGTATTTATAAGGCCAAGCAGCGAATTGCACAGTTGTGAAGCTCCAGCCTGTAACACTCACTGTGATCTGGCACCCCAAGTGCTACATCACATTAATGGTTTGAGAGCCTTAATTTTAATTGTGTGGCCAGATTTCACTGACTTGCCTTTCCTCAGATCTTCCAGTGGAAAGGGCCATATGGTTGGAGAGGGTGTGACTTCTATCAGATGGAGAGCTCAGTATTGACAGGGCAGCAACAGGGGGTATTGGTTAATTGAGTGATCTAAGGCTCCAGTTGGCAATTGCTCACATTAATACTCCCTAATCAATCTTTTGTGGTGCAGTGGCTGCTGGCCATGGGCACGAAGCAGCTGTGAGTATGAGCACTAAAGGACTAGACCCCAGACAAGTCATCCCTTACTGGCTGAAAGGGGGTTCTTCAATAGATCAACTGATAGTTGATCTAACTAATAACATTAATTAAGGATGACCAGAATACTTTACAAAGGAAACTTTTACTTAAACAGGAAAAAAAAAATCCCACTTTGTTTTGAGGAGAGAAAAAACCCCACAAAACAAAATGCTTCTGCTTCTCTTTCTAGGTAGACTTTTCCCCAAACAAACAGTTTGCTGAATATCAACATGAATTTGCAAACTCTTTTCATCAACCTGAAGCTGCATGTGTAAGAGGTGATGTTTCAGCCAAAAACATTCACTCACCTTTACTGCTGGCTCCAAAAGTAGATCTGCTTATACTGCTGCATCTACACAAAAAGCACATCACCGCAATTTCAAGCAGCTACTTTATTCTAGAGTTGACCCTTAGCTTTTTAAATTCCTAACCAAGTTCTGTACGGCTCCAAATGCTGAGGGACCCATAGATCTAACACTTTGGCTGTTTTATCTGTTCCTTAGCCTAACTGCAGCATATTCAGGTCTGACATGTGCATAGTGTCCTTGCCAGGCTTGAAGACTACTTAACCACATTACTTCTGAGCTGTCAATCCTATTCCTCATCTGTAATAAGTCATACTTAAAAGCCCAGAACAGGAAAAATAAACTGTCCTAATTCTTTCCCCACCATTTCTGTTCTCATAAGTAAGCAATTGAGTACTTGCTCCACACTGATGTCCCACATTCACCCTTTTCTCCCCCCTTACAGGCCTGCGTAAGTGAAGAGGAGCCAGAGGACAGATAAACCTTGCACTCCACCACCAAAGGTGCTGCAGGAAACAGCCCCCTGTGGCCTGGATCTTTGGCAGAGGAAATGCAGGATGGTGAACTCCATTCCATGTTTTTGTTCCTTGTCTTCTTTCCAAACGCAGTGAATGTACAGCAAAGAATGGCCACACAGTTGGTTTGTAATTCTCCAAGTGCCCTGACGAACCTTTCCTACCATAGTCTGCTGGTACTAGCCAAGAAATGACACAGGCCTAGAGACCTCTGGCAGAACAAGTTCACCAAGAGCCTCTCTCAAGAGATGCACTTGAAGTCGAAGCTGCTTCCTTGTGGCCTTGGATCCATAAAGAAGGAAGCACCGCCCTGGGACATTTCATATGTTCTGTAGTTAGTGTCTTCTCCTTTCCCTTGTTCTGAAAAGAGCCTAAATCCCCTAACACAACTTCATCTCCTCCCTGCCTGTATAGGACTTGGTGGGGGCTCTTTACATTTGAGTTACTTAGGCTTTTTTGGGTTTTAAATTATAGTTGAGAATTCTTCCCTTCTTCCTCCCTGCCCATCCAGGACTCCCTTCCTCATCCTCTGTAGACTTGGCAATAAGCATTTGTCCTGGATTTCAGTGTCATGTGATCTAACTCCTATAATGCTGAACAGCTAAAAACTACTACAAGCACCAAATCTTTACTCAGCACTGAGCTTTGCCCCATTTCAACATGCCAGGCCATTCTCAGAGCAGCTGCAGCTTGCTCTGGGTTTGCCCAGCTACATTAAATTAACACTGGTGTAGCCACATACACAGCTGAATCCCCCTGCAGGACACTGAAAAAGGCCTAGTTCTTCATGGATCACAGGTGGGTTTGTCCCTGCCTTCTCCATCGAGCAGCCACACTTATTCCAGGCACAAGCCTGGCAACATTCCCATGGAAGATGTGTTTGTTGTTTTTTTTTTTGTGACAGGTTTTTTGAGGGGAGGGAAAGGGCTGAAGGGGGAATGTAAGTGTAATTAAGTTGCATTAATGAGCTGCAGCAATTAATAAAAAAAAAAACAACAACAAAACCAATGTCAGTGATGTCAGCTGTGTCTCCCAGCACACTGAGTATCCAGAAGAGAAAGAGCACTTGGCCAGCCAGCTGTGGGATTCTATGTTGTGGCTGGTACCTTCCAAGTGCTGTTGTAATTTGTTATTGTTTTACCTAATCTGTTTGGGATTACTTGGCAGTTTTTGAAAAATGTTTTTCAGAAGAGTCAAACCGGAAACCATGCTAGGGAGAAGTGTGAAGGAAGAATGAAAACAAATAAAAACATTAAGTGCTAAATCAAAGACAGAATGATGCACCTTTTTTTGTCCCATTTCAAAGAACCCAGGAAGCAAAGTTTTCTTCAATAAACCCAAATGTATAAGCACCAAGAGAGCATTTCTTTGGTTCAGTGAGGCATCTATTCCAGATACCCACTGCAAATTAACATCCTGAGTTGTGGTTGGGTGCAGCTGCAAGTAAAAATGTTGCTTTCTGTATAATTCCCCCCCCCTTCTTTTATCCACTGAAAGCCACAGCTTCTGACTGAGCAAGACAGACAACTGGTTTGATACTAGTGTCATGACTAGAGGAAGAAAAAGATCAACCATCTTTCAAACAGCTCTGCCTGACAAAATATAACTACTTAGTTATATTATTAGTCAATAGTGCGTCACCACTAAGTCAAACAGTGAAACACAAGCCACTCTATTTCAACACCATGAACAGAAAAGTGCATACCCTGTCTGTTGGCTCTTTCTCCACCTCACCTTTGATTCAATTCATTTCTGCATCCCACTCATTCCCACCTGCCCTGATGATCCCTGGAGGGGCAGAAAACCAAAAAGGAATAGAAAAAGAATAAACATCCTCTAGTCGATGAGATTATTCCATGAAATATTTCATTTATTTGGGGCTTTTTAAATGAATCTTTCCTTCTCTCATCCAAAAACACTTAACTTCACATTTTTTGGTTTGCTTTTACTATGATTTCTTTTCCTCAGAGAAATTGCTGTGCATCAGATACCAGCAGTCGCTATTGGCCTTGTTTGAGAGCAACCAAAATTCAGCCCAGATGGTGGAGAAAGCACAGCTTCAGCTTTGAACAGCTGAAATATTTCACTAATACTTTCAGGAAGGGATTCTTCTAGGTGGTCACATGAAGGAACTCCCGGAATTATTTTGACATCTGCATGTTTTTAACACTACACATCTCCAAGCCCTGATGCCACATTTACTAATAAAGCTGATAAAAAACACTTGCCAAGTACTCTAAAGGGACTAAACATCAAACTATGCACTTAACAACATTACCTCTTGGCTTTAATACACACTGATGAAGTGAATAAATAAAAGTGTGATGACTGAGTAGCTTCATAACTACCACTCGACTACCTGTGTTCATTGTAGCATAAAGCATCAATTAATAGAAGGAAAATAAACACTGAGCCTATATTCAGGTAAGCCTATAATATGCAGTATCAATGACTGCCATAAATCATAAAAAGAAGAAAAAAAAAAAGGCCACCACAGTCTGAGAAAAAAACTAAGAGAAGTTACCAAGGGTCATATTCCACACTTAACTACCTCCTCCAGTTTTCATTATCAGAACCATTCATCCTTCATGCTCTGAAAACCCCTCCTGGTCTGCTTGTGCTAGAGCCACTCTGAGCACCACAAGGTCACAAAGTGCTGAGGGCAGGGACTGGCAGTCGGTTCTACCCCCAGTGTGCTCTCAGAGTGAGGAGCAGCTGAGGGTTTTGCTCCTGTGGGTTCCTTTATCTCCAGTTTAGGAGTGCCCTCTGTTGGGGACAGGCATCACTGGAGATGCTACCACTCTAAAAACCTGTTTCTGGAGGAACATCTTGCCACAGGAAAAACCAGCTTCTCCCTTCCAGACGTGGAAAAGCCACAATTTTCAAAGTGTTCAATAAGAGAAGCCCCATAAATAGCTGCACACTTCCAGCCCTGTAGTCCTGCTCACACTTACTTTAGGTTCAAGCCACACTGAGCTGAGTTTAAGAGGAAATAACACTATTTCAGTAGAGTTGGTTTTGTTTTCCCTTCTGTGATTAGCACTTCTATTTAAACTGTAATATTTTGCTGTTATTTATAGTGGCAAAACATAGCCAGTGATATCTTGAACCCACACAACACCTAATTTAGCATGTTGGTGACATTCTGCTCTCTATGAAAGCTGCTGTCTGGCAGAGACCCACCAGTTCCTCCAAGAGTTGGAGAGTTCAAACTGCTCAACTAGTAATTTCCCTCATCTTTGCCAAGAACTTCACTACTACTACCACCTTCTTCTGAAGGCAGGGATGAAGAGAGCATCCACTCTGGTCTGGGGCTGGAACAAGATGGTCTTTAAGGTCCTTTCCAACCCAATCCTATGCCTCCATGACCTACATGTTGTCTTGTGAATTCCATGGTCAGAACAGTTACTTTTCTCATGCCCATGTAGCACTGAGGGACAGAAGTCATCTACAACCTGATGTCAGTCTAACATTTGAGGACACCACCACAGCCCTCCCTCCCCAAGGAGGGAATTGTACTAGAATCAGATACTCAGACCTCTAAGTTAAACAAAGGAAAAATTTTATTCCATGAAAAAGAACAGTTTATTTTTAAAAACATATTTCCTTTCCCCTTCAGTGAACAAGCTATAGTATAGACAAAACTTATTCTTTTTGGCTAAATGATAGAATATTCCATTTTAAATAAGAATGACCAGTTTAGCCAGCAAACAGAAGTCCTAAAAAGGTAAGTTTCCATAGCTATCTTTTAGTAGGATAGTACCCAACAACCAGGGAAGAGCTCCATGAGAAGCTTCCAGGAGACCATAGTGACCCTGAGCAAAGAGTCTTTCACCTGGGGAGGGCAACTGAGAGTAAAGAGGTTGGAGAGTCTACTACAGGCCAGGCTTTTCCACTTAGTTATGCAGATTTGAGTACCAGTAAAACCTGCCATCAATTGTTGAAAATTCAGCAAAAAAAAAAGAGAGGAGGACAGGAAAGAGCTCAGAAGAAAAAGTTAGACTCTCCCCCTCCCACAACACATTGCTGCTGAGTATTCTTGTCTCAATGGAATGCATTTTGTATACAAAAAAAACCCATTTTCACTCAAACTTACTGAAGGAAGCCCTAGCAGAATAACCTCTAAACAACTGCTAAATGTGTGAAAAAGAACCAGAGAGCCTACTAAAAACAGCCTTTGATTTCAACACAGAGCAAAGATTCATTTGAGAACACAGGAATTTGGAGGAGAGTCTGTCAACAAAAGCCTCTCTTTGGAGGAGAAAAGAACCCAGCAGAGTTTTTCTGGAACAGTCCTACAGCAACAGTACAGCAAACCAGCAACTCCTCCTAGAAACACTGTGCACAGGAGGCACATTTAGTGAGTTTTTACACATATGCCAAGATACCCTGCAAATAAAACTGCTCCAGCATCAATCTATTTAGTGATTTTCTTCCTCTGCTGTGTTATCAGTGAGCTGTATAGACTTATCTTTCCCTTTGGGTGCATCACGGCTCAGGACATGAAAGTCCTCACACTGCCCTGGATGACAGCTCTGCAGATGGGACACAAACTCAGATTGAGGGCACAGTCTCTACAAGCTACCAGGTGGCCACAGGGAACAAACACAACAGACACATCTCTGTCCAGGCACACTTTGCACATCCTTTCCTCTTGCAGGCGGCGGAGCTGTTCTTCTGTGCTCAGCTGAGACTCATCTTTACCAGAAAGGAAAAAAAAAAAAGCCCAAACTGTTAATATTCTCACAGCTCCAGAGTGCCAGTCCTGGCAGCTTAGGAAGTCACACTGCAACTTGTTTGTTGTTTTGTTCAGAGACTGACTGTGGACATGGCAAAAGTACCTTTCAGGCAAGGTTCATTTAAGCTGGAAGACTACAGCCATTATAACCTGGCTTATCTGCACAAGGTTCAGTTTATCTACACATGCTGGACTGAGCAGGGATAGAGATCAACATCACTTTACTGTGGTATGTAAATTATCCCAATAAACTAGACTTTTTTTTTTTTTAAACAGTCTGATTCACAGTGGAACTCTAATTCCTGAATAAGGGTTTCTAATGTAGGTACCACTCAAGCAAGTACATTCTCCCCTTCAGAATTAAAAAAAAATAAAATAAAATCAATTAATATAATGATTATTGATGCCATTATTCTTAAAATCATCACAACTCCACCAGCTCAATTCCACCACCACTGTCAGCCCAGAGCACCTGATTCCTTTTGCTGCACAGATTGCATTTCTTCTCTTGATGTTCCAGCCTCCCTCCGAACAGGATCTGTGTAACCAGGAAAGAAGATGGCATTAAATGCTACCCTTGTCTCCCTCTCCAGACAGTGCTGTGTGAAAAGATGAAGGATCTTGGATCTCAGGAGCCTTTGGCTACACACCTCTTGACTCTGCTCTTAATTTCACGTGCTCACTCACTATATAAGTGAACATCTATATCAAGGCACGTCCACATCACATTCTCTCCTCAAAGCTGGTTTATCTATCAGACAGCAAGAGCCATCAGCTGCGCTCTCCTACTATTTAATCACATTTTCAGTTTTGTGGACTTCTCTTTTCCGTGTTAACTTCAGAAATGTCAGACAATGCTATGGAGACAGGAGCCTTGGAAACTGCACCTTCAAGTAAACCTTACTTGGTAAACAGACTCCACAAAACAGGTAACAAGACAGACAGATAAGCTGAGGAAGCTACATATCATCCAGACAAGTAGTATGGCTGTTTCTGATCAATTTATTGATCCAATTTTAAATAGGCTTGGAGTAATCATCCATCCTAGAAGCTTTGCTTCAGACAGCTGCCTCTGTCTGGATCAGATGTGAATTCATGCACAGATCTCCACATTGTGGAGCTGCTACTGCAGGTCTAAGGGCAGTGGGAACCATTGAAGATATCTACACCAGAGTCTAGTGGAGGCAGAGATAGTCACTGATAACCCAGTAACCACAGCTCCTTCAGGTTTCTTTAAATCAGAATCCCATTGTTCAGCCTACCCAGGAAAGGCAGGCTTGTGGGCATTACTCCTCTTAATTCCAGCCTAGGAAGAGAGAAGACAGACCTGCAAGACACCACAGCAGGGCTCAGGGTGAAGGAAGAGGTGACACCCCCCAGACCAGGTGTGGAGCCAGGCCTACCTCTGCCTCCCACGGCACCGCCGCTCTCTGCCCGGCCCGGCTGCAGCAGATCTGAAACCAGCTCAGACTCAGAAAGGTAGAAAGCCCCAGTCAACCCAAATTTATTCTCTACCAGGTTTGCCACACAAGTGGGGTCAAAGCCCATCTGCAGGACATTGTGCACTATGTTACGCTGATCCTGAGAAGGATGAGCCAGCTCTTTCCAAGCACTCAGAGGATCTGTAAAGCAGCGAGCAGATACTTTACCAAGAAGGCAGAACTTTTTGCCCCAAGTGTGCCATTCCCCAGAGCTATTATATATAAATTGGTATTAATATACTCTTAAACACTCCTCAAGATATCTATATAGCTAGACTAACATTCAGATTTACAGTTTTTGCTTCCAATCATAATTCACAAGCAAGTTAATCAAAAGCAATTTCATAAAAGCTCAGGGAATAATTTTGGATGGTTTATTCCACTGTATCAGTAAACTAAGTCTCCCTCTATCAGTGAGCTAAGTTTGGCCTCCGTCCAGAATCCTTATCTTTGTTTTCATGTCCCAGAACAGAAGCCTTAAAATTGTTTTCATGAATATCAAGTGGAACATCCCAATTGAAGTGTCTCCTACCTCAGTCTAGCTCAACCATTCATCAGTAACAACAGAAGTAAGAAATTCAGCTGGCAGCCTGTTCAAAGACTTAAGTCTTGTTTAAGCTCATGGGAGCCAAATTTCACCTGCTTAAATTTCCAGGAGCAACTGATGAATGGGAATAATCCCCAGGATCAACAGCTTCACAAACATCTAGACCCTCTAGCTGTTCTCTCATGTCTTATCAAGCTTGTTTAAAATGTTGCAGTGTCAAAGACTCTACAGACGGACAACAACATCAAGAGCATGCACAAGTCAAAGGAACATTGGACAAACACTCAAAACTCACACCATTATCCAGGCTAGCTAAGTGTCTCTGGTCTTAGACTAAGAGGTCTCACAAGTAATTTTGTTTCTTGAGCTAGACACTTTGCTAAAAACAAAGTGAAACTGCTTCTGGAATATCAAAACATCTCACAAATACCATGTCTACAGAGTGCACAGTAGATGGGGTGGGGTGGCAGAACTGAGACCACACCACTTCCAACAGAAGATGAAACACTGAAGATGTAATCACAGCACTGACCTTGGGAAGGAGGGCAATCCTGTTCAGTCTGATCCCAGGAACGTCTCTGAAAAATGACACAAAAAGAAGCATGTGTTCAAAACTCCCCCATCTACCAAACCTCCATCTACTACACACAAAGTACATAATGACTCACTGGAGCTAGCAGGGTGGTAGAAAAGGTCTCCTGAACACTGCTAACAAATTCTCTCCCCTTTGAATGCAATAAAAATTCACACCTATAAGCAGAAAGGTTTACACATATTAGTACAGGATCTCTCAAGTCAAAGTAGCATGAGTAGTTTGCATTTTAGAAGCAAAGGGTGGTATGAGTTACGAGCAAACTGCTATATATTCATTAAAGATAGGGTATCATGGGGTTTCTCACTCCCACTTCCTGCACAAAGCTTGACAGTAAGAGGTTTATGATTCCTCCCCTTTAATTCAATCTTCATGTTTTGGAATAGACCACAGAACTGTGATAAGAGAGCAGTTCACAGAAAAAAGAGCCATAAGAACTGCTAAAGAAACCCAAGGTTTACAATACATTTATTTTTGTACCTCAGAGTAGTAGTAATCAAAGCTGTTTGACTTTGCGTCAAAGAAAGTGATTTTAATTGAACTCTTAGGTAGTGAACTCTGGGTCAAATTAGAAAATCTCAGGTCTGAACTGTGCCATGCTACCTGAGCTTGAATATTTTATTTTGCTTTTAAAGTGAGAGGTTCTAAATATTTCTAGCCTATGGGGAAAAAGAAGCCAAATCTATCAGTGTAAAATGCATGACCCATCTTTTGATCTTGCTGTGAGGGGCATTTGTGAACTCAGACTGACTTACTCTGGATACCATTTGGCATGTTCCCTCCAAGGATCATCTCCGAACGACCAGCTCCTCACACCTCCATCACAGTAAAAGCATCTCACTACATCACCTCGTCCTGAAAGGGATATCAAGAGGTTATTTTATATCTGAGACACTGGGTGCTCTACTGACCCTGGAGGAGAACGTGGGGAGGGAATGGGCATAAAACACAGGCTGATGGAACAGGTGAACATGTGACAATTTACCAGCACAGTGCAGGGGCAGGAAATCAGTCTGAATTCCCAGAGCTGCAGCTGGTTGAGATGATTCCAGACCTGGGTCACAAGCTAACAGGCAGCATGAATGTGAGCACCTGAGCTCCCATGTGTACACACACACCTTACCCAATCCCTCCTCCACCCTATTTAGAGTAGAACTGTAGGTAGTTATACCTATAAACACACTGTTCACTAACCACAATCTGCCATAACCAGCAGGCACAGGCAGGCAGTGTACACAGATTCCATCCCACAGGTATAAGAACTTGCCACAACGTGGTCCCTGCCTGCTCTGTGCTTCTCTTCAGAGAAATCGCAGGGGGAAAAAATCCAAACACCATTAAGAAGAACTGCAGATAAATGCCCTGCCCTGAGGACACTGAAACAATGTCAGTAAAGGCTGCCAGTGAGCTTGGGTCACAGGCATGATCTCCCAAGCACTCATGTTTGGCTTCACTCCGTGCTCGGTTCCAGAGTTCTCCAGGTCAGGGGACTGCTGGGGAGTGCCATGTGAGACTGCTGTGCCTAATGAGTCCCCAGAGTAAGTCTGTGCTGGGCTATCAAGCAGCTCTGAAAGTGATAAATCTAACACAGAACACAGTTTTTTACTTGGATTTATAGCAAGATCCAGGTTATGCAGTTTGAGTGAAAGCCTTGCAGAAATTGAGATGTACTAGCAAACTAACCTGTCACTTCTTCCAACTCAAGCTGAAAGAACAGAAGGGCAGGTACTTGGGCTTTCCTACATTCCTGTCACTGACAGCTCAGATTTTTCCAGCTATCACAATATTAAAGGCTGGTTTTTTTCCCTGCTCCCATCTTTACCAACAAATGCTACTTAAATAAGTGGAGAAAGGGGGAATTCAATCGTACTTCAACAGTGATTCTCAAGTGTTCAGGGTGTTCAGGTTTGTTTCTGCTTAGGGACCTTTAGTTTATAGAACCTGCCTGTGACTTCCTTCCATATCTCAGTTTCACATGCAAAAACAAATAGATTCCTTCATATCAAAGTCATCACTCTAGTAACACACAAGTATCCCTAAATTATTAGCTTCCAAAAACCAGAAGGACTCCCCTCAATATTTAATTGCAGTCAAGCATTAACATAGTGTAAATATTTCCTCTGATTGGTCAATCCAGAGAGGAATATTTCTTTAAAACTATTACCTAATCAGCAAAGCCTTCTCAAAGGGAAACAATAATGTTATACTGATATTCACATGCATGTCATTACAAGAAATATTTCCTATTTTACTAAAAAAATTGGTATCTTATTTCTGAATTACAAATCTGGAGTTCTTAGAGCAACAACTCACAGTGACAGCCAGGTGGGCTGACTACCTACAGATTTCACTCAGATTTGGGGGTTTGAGAAGAGAAGGCTTCAGTGTAAAACACTTTATAGAAAATATGGCATGCCAAGCAAGCTCCTCAAGTCCTTTTAGAAGTGCAACTAATAAACAAGTTCAATGGATCTTAAAGCACACACTTTTCTGCCAGTAAAACATCTGTTCAAAACGCATCACTTTCTCCACTCATGCTGGCAAGGGAATTCACTTACTAGTGGACCCCTCATTACTCAAACAGGAGTTAAAGTTGAAGTAAATTTTGCACAAGCAGCAAGTGAAACAGCACATTCTGAAGGAAGGATGCAGTTTCTAACTATAACACACATATTTGCAAGCATTTGTAAAAGCAATAAAACAGTAGCAACTTTCAAAAGTTAACTTGAATAAGAGTTAAGAATATCTCCCCAGGGTACCTACCTGTGTAAAAGAACCCTGCACTGGCCAGTTGCTCTGGACGAACGTCAGAATTTTGTGGCCAGTTCTCAAAGGTAGAGAGTCTCATCTCCTCTGTGACCATCTCTGGGTATTCTGGTTCATTGGGCAGGGCTGTCTCCTCACTGACTATCCCCTGCAAGAGACTGAGGAACTGCCCATCCACAGTGTCAAAGATCTCCTGAAAAGACAGCATCTCTTGGTTCCCAACATCCTCACCACAAATGTATTTACAGGAAGGGAAGAAATTCAGGTGCTCTATTATGGGGCAGTCCCCGGCTCTCCAGTCCTTCAGGACGCCCCCGCAGCAGAAGCACTGCACTTCATCCCTGGGACCCACGTAGAAGAACCCAGCCTCGACCAGATCTCGGGGGGACACAGGTGAGGTGCGTGGCCACCGCCGGAAAGTCCTGAGTCTCCTCGCCATGCTCCTCATGCTGGAATCGAAGAGCTGGGAAGAGGCAGCCCCGCGCTCCGTCCCCTCGGCCGGTGCCGCGTCCCCCATGGCCCTGTTCTGAAAGAGAGGATGAGAAATCCCAGAGCAGTCAGCTGGGTTCCCAGCCTCAGGCAGCTCTCACCCTGCGTTATTTGTTCCTCATCCCCGTGTATATTCCAGAAAGCTCCTGGTCTGGACAAAGCTGAGCTTGTTTCGGAATTGCAGCCCAAACGCAGAGCTGGTGCTTCTGTACTTTGCTGTTGAACTTTTGCTGAGCCCTCACTAGTGTCTGATGGGAAGGGACCAGCACTTTCAGAGCCCCCCTGCCAATTTATAGGAGAGATGGAACACAGAGTGGAGGGGGAGGGCATAACCTGTGCTGCCTCCCAAGCTGAGCCAATCCAGCTTTAGGCATCTGATCTGTGAGATAAATCCCCAGTCATTTTGATCAGCCTTTAAACTACTATTAAAATTTTTTTATTCCTAAAAGCAGATTTCAGCAGGCATGCCATAACAAAGAGAACAGCCACACCCAAACAAAAAGTGTCTCATCAACTCCAGTTTACAGCCAAACACTACACAAATCAGTAGATTTTTCATAATTGTATTGTCCTAATTAAACAGTGAATATCTAGAAATACCTCTATGAAAGGGCTTCCCCAGGGGATAGCCTAAAATAATTAGGTGCAGTTTCTATGAGGTGTTGTTCTTAAATCAAGGATTTTCTCATTTTTCTCATTTTCTGCCTTTGCTAGTTCTGTGCAAGAGGAAAAGTGAAATTAAAGAAGTTACCAAGTGCCTGACTATCCAACCCCTCATCCTACTTAAGGTAACAGCCCTTCCCTGTGTGAACTGCAACTCAGCTACTGCTTCCAATACTTTCCACATGGCTGGCAAAGACACACTCAAAATGCCATACAATAGCACAACTGAAAATAAGGAACAATTTAACAAGTTACATCAAAGGAATTCCTTTGGATTGAAGTGTGTGATTAACTGGTAGATGCAATCAACTTTTTTTTTTTTTTAATTTATTGCCCTGAAGATCCTTTCACCACCTAACTCAATAGGTAAGATCATCCCAAGGAGGTGAAAACTACCTACTGGTTATCGGGGCTAGGCATTATAAGCACACAGACCCCAAAACATCACACAGGCAAATATAAGGAAATACAAGCAAAAAAATATAAATAAGCACCCTAAAAACGTATGGGGTTTCAAAGTTGGTACAGCACATTAAGATAACTACAGCAGTGCACTCTTTGGAATAGGCACAGAGTAAAATACAAACAAGTGGAGACCACCTGTGTAGCAGCTACTCTGCAGTAAAAACCATCACAAGGACCATAAAGGGGCTTAAGAAACACTCAAAGCAGTATATCTCTGAATTATTCTTACTGTTAACGAAGTGCTGCAGCACATTTAGGGGGCAAAAAAAAACTTTAGAGGGCATTTTAGTCACCAGACCGCAGCCAGAGTTAATAAATCCATCCTCCATAGGTATTACACATTTAGTGAGATTCTAAGAGCAAAACCAAGCTCGCTCAACCATATACATCTCACAGTGAAAGGTAGCAAGGAAGAGAAAATTTATTAGCAACTAGAATTTTCTTCTATGGTGACAGAAAGCAGAGTTGCAGGAAGCAGCTCTAAAGTTTCAGAAACTGTGCTTTATTTAACACAATAAAGTGGTTACTCAAGAACTAAGTCACTGGTATAGAGAAAAATCCATACAAAAAGAAAAAAACCAAAGCCATTAAGTCCCTGATACCCAGCAGAATTTGCAAGCTAAGCAAACTGAGGAGCACACAGTTTTTTTCAGCCTGCACAGCAGATTTTGCTCTCAGAACACAGAGAAACAACAGAGAGGCTTGTTCATCAGGCACAGCTCCACAGTCAGTGCTGCTCTCATATTGAGCCCTAACAAAACAAAAGCTATAACTCTTGAGCTACAACAAATGCTGGGTGTCACCTACACAATGAACAAGTTCTCAGCCTACTTCCACTTCAGAAATACACATCAGAGCAAGTTTCATGGCAGAACAAGACCAAAATTATTTCTTCCACCAAAACCTTTTTTTTATATAAATGAGAAATGCAATATCAGAGAAAAAATATATTTATCTTTAGCTTATGAAGAACCCCATTATGGTTTACCTGCACTGAAGACACTTATATGCTCTGCAGAAAATTCATTAGCTTGGCTAATAAGGCTCTTCAAGTTAACATTTAAAATAGTTACAACACCACTAAAAGCCAACATTCTCACACAACCCACTACTTACACATTAATATAGAGCCAAAGCAACATTACAGCTCATATCAACACTTCCTTACAATTACACAATGAAAATAAAATTATTTAAACCAACCCCAAACCACCAACTTTACCTGCAACCTGAGAACAAAACTCCAGAACGCTTCCATGAACTAAAACTCTCTCAACTCCACAAGCTTCACACAAGTCTCTTCCCAACAACAGCAAAGACTCTTTCAAACAGGCAGAAATTCTTCCTTGGTGGAAGTGAACCCAGCTGCCTCAGAGGCTATTTCTAATGCTTTGTTTTCCCCTATTGGCTGGGTTTTGGGCTGAAATTCCCTATTGGCTAATGAGTTCACATTTGATCTTAATTAGTGTGGGGGTCATCAGGGAAGAGTAAAAAGATAAGCTTGAACTTTCTCCAGGAAGAAACCTTTTGGGTCCTTCATGAAAATAATAATAGCAACTAAGTCTTGGGATCCTGTTAAAACCAAGAAGAGTGCCAGGCATGACATCTTGGTTCCTATGATACAGTGACTCCCATCTTCCTGCTGAGACTCTAATAACAGTATTTCTGCATTTTTTTCAACTTGCTCTCACATGTGTGTTTTGCACCTTACATTTCTTAAGAAAATGTACTGTAAAATTAACAGATAAATAGCAAGAAGAATTTTCTCAAGACAGCTTGAACAGATCGCCTTGGCTTTACTTTGGGATCAACGCTCTTTTGCTGCCATTGCATTTTCACATTTTGAAATCTTCCTATTCCTTTGCCTTCCTGTGGTCACAATTCAGAATGGAAGATTTTAAAGGTAGTTTTGAAGGCTGCAATTACTTGAAAATGCATTTTCATTTACCACATTTCTGCCTGAGAGATGAAGCTTATTCTAAACTGTGTGCTTGACAAAGCATCAGTTCTCTGTGCAAACATAAGAACACAGGTGGTTTCTGTTTATAAAAAATGATAAATTAGGATTTTTCTTTGAATAAAAAGATCCAGAGTCCTTTTTGTTACAGGCAAGTCTATACAAATATTTTCATTACAAAGAACAGTGTTGGGTTTTTTTAATTAAATGCTCTTTAATGAAAGTCCCTGAGCAGTAGAGGGCAGTGCTCATATACAACATTTACAGAATCTTGTAACCAGCGAATGTGTTGGGGGTTTTTTTGTCCTTAATGAATTTATATGTAATAAAATACATATAAAGATAATTGCACATTCTCTTCTGCTCCACGGATCCTGTTCTTTCTAATTCTATGTTGATTTTTGAAGGATATGTCCTAAAAACCTAAGATCCAGATTTAGCAAAATCCCTCCTACAGAGGCTGTTTGGGGACTGCTGATGGGTTGTAGCAAATCACTTGTTAATTTATAAAATGATTGATAATTTTGGTCTTATGAAGCATTTTACAAGCAATGAACACATCTTGGGCTGCCTGTAACCACCTGCCTTCCCACAGGTGACCTTGGGAGGTGCACTGGGTAGCCCCCAGTGTGACTGTTAAAGAGGGAAAAGCTGTATAAATCTCATAGGAGCTCAAAAGCACCTTCTGTGTTAATTGACAGCATTTGACTGATTCTGGCAGGGATTATTAGGATTTTTTCTCTGTATACACAACATTCTCCCATCATAGAAGCTTCAAGACAGGCTTAAGGTTGGTTTAATATGAGGATACACTTGTGATTTTGGGGAGAACGTTTCACCAACAAAGCAAAGCTCAGGAGGACTGGTGAGATGATCATAGCAGAAGAAGATGAAGTGACATCAAGTATGGTGCTGAGAGCAAGTAAAAATAAGTCACTGTGTATAAACAATGGGGAGTTTATTATAGCACACTAAAATTTGGAAAGCAAATAACATATTCAGTAATGTGTTGTATGCAGCTAATACTGACCCTTTTTTAGCAAGTCATATACATTTTTAGTCCCTTTTCAGAGAATTAAGATGTCCTACTGAACTTCCGAATGCTTCTTAAAACGAAGAGTGTCGTGAGCTAATGACAAACAAATGTGGGAATCAGTAAACATCAATCAGGAGTCCAGGATAGCTCAGTGATAATGATCAACAGTGCCATCACTAGACAGTGATTTGAAACACTCGATGAAGAAAAGAATATAAACATAATTAATCAAAAATATGTTTACTAACATCAACCTGATTTGGAAGGAAAGCAATCAATAAATACAAGGGCCAAAATATAGCTGGAGACAGCATGATGAAGAGCTAGAAAGGGCTGAAGTGACTGGAGACCCTGGAAAAACTCCAGCAGAATTCAGCATCTCTAACCTCGAGGTGCTACACAGCTGTAAGGGGATGAAGCTGTTCCATGTGGGTTAGCTAGAGGAAGACTAATGTGCTTTCATCAATAAATTAAGCGTTTACTGAGGAAAGAGGCTTTTATAGCAGGGGGAAAAAGGTATCAGTTGGCATAAACAAAGAAACAGGCTGGAACACAGATAGAGGTGCCACAGCTTACCACTGCAACTGGTGTGTAAAGGAGCTGGATATCAAACAAATTTATGACATAATTGCTATTCTCACTTGCTCAGAAGCACTGTTAACCACTATGAAGACAAGGATCCATTTTTCAGAACAAAACATTCAGACTTTGTGATATAACTGCTTTCCAGCCTGAAGCAGAGTAGACAAAATCATTACATTTGTAGCCCTAGAAGTAGATGATAGCTGCTGTTTCTGCATTTAGGGCCTTGCTTCCCCTCTTCTGGTTGCCTCTTCTTTGTCTGTCGTCCTTC